GCTTACCGTCAACCAAGTGAGATAGATTTGGCGCTAGCAGATATGGTTTTCTGTTCTAGAACTGTTCTTCCAATATTTGCTCTTCTAGCATTGTGCTTCTTTCTCATGCACGAGCAACGCCAAAGTCGACCACAGTCTTCACTTTTGCATTCGGCGGCAACCGCGACATTGAAGCCATATATCCATATGCTATAGGACGCCCACGGGATGCTACTGCGATGGGCTTGGCATCCCCGACCTCCTGCTCCAGAAGCTCCGGCTCATTGGAACTCTGCCTCAAGTTTAATGGCGCACGCGATCGATGCACTCAGCGCCTGGATATGAGAGCAAGTTCAGGCAGAGAGAAGAGATTCGATTGCTCAGCGGCGGCGTCGAGCGGGTCCAAGCGATGATGGTCTCTGAGAGACATCCTGATAAGAACAGCGTCTCGGCGACTGTATTGTGGCCCGGGAACATCTGGAGGGCCTGACCAATCCGGGAGTTTTGGGTGTAGCCCTGGAGCATCGCCGTCCACGATGCCATGGTCTTCTTATCGATCGGCATTGCGTCAAACACCGCCCTGTCTTCGTCCAGATGCCCGTTTTGGGCAACTGTTGTTACCATGATTCACTCCTTTCTGGCATTTGATCAAACAAACGTTTTTCTAGCAAGGCTGCACATAGACAGTTATTATCTCATTTTACGTGACTGGATTGGGAGAATGAGATTGATCAAAAACGTTACACTCTTCATCCAGATGCCCACTTCGGGCATATGCTTGAATCATGATGGAGAGATTGGGGCGATCGATCGCAGAGACACATCGCCGACACTGCCACGTTTGCCATAAGACTGGATAAGGAAATTGTGGAGGAGTAGCCGCTGTCCACTATCCGGGAGTGGATCCTCTGGGTTTGACTGGAGCCGTGGAATGTAATGCTCGCGGCAAATGCCCAAAACGGGCAATTTGCGGTTTCTCTGGCAATACTTGGGTGTTCCTCATACTTCGTGGAAGTTTTTATAAGCTTGTCATCGTTCCTAGCAAGAGCACTACATAAAAAGTTCTCGAGGAGCTCCATCCCGCGTCTGCTCTACATCGCTATACATCTCCTTTTGATCTGTAAGGTTTGGAGAGCCCGTAACAGCCTTTCATCCAACTCCAGACTGAGGATTGCTGCAAGCCCACATTGCAACAACTATTCTCCTGATAAAGTCTACTAGTCAATATCTCTCCCATCTTTCTTCACTCTCCTTGATTCCACATTATTAACATATAAAGCGAAGTTTTATCCAGTGTTGGTAACGGTGGTGCTACCATGGTTATCCACGTTAGCTTTTGGCCACTCAGTGGACAACAATTGCATTTCTTCGAAGACTGTGCCAGCTTTTGTGTGAGTCTGTGCTCCTCGGCCTTTATCTACGGGAGCGTGGCCTTTGTATTTCTCATTCTTTCTTTCCTGGTTTGGATCTATAGGCTCTCTTAGTATAGAAATGGCTCCTTCTCGCAAGCTTGTGCTCGCAGCCCTGCTCTCATGCCTGCTCATCACTGCCGCTTTTGCTACTAGTGGAGACAAAGGTAGAGGGCACATATAGATTTCATTTCTTTGTTATTTTCCTCCACAATCTAGTTTCCTACTGTTTTTAATTGGTTTGCAGATGCGAGCTTGCTGGCTGAACAGGGCCAGGTTGATAATCTTCTCCTACGTTTCACATTTTCTGTTGTTAACTATAAGTTCTTCTTCTTCTTCTCTCTCTCTCTCTCTATCACTCTTTTTTCTTCCAGGCTCTCAACGGCAGGAAGCTCCTTGGAGAGGTCCACACCAGCGACTATGACGGCCCAAAGGCAAACAGGAACCCACACTATGGCGCGCCCCCTCCCCTTGGAGAGTATCAAGTTTGTTGTTTGCTGTTGTTTGATGTTGAGCTGACTAGAGAATAGAGTGATCAAGGGGCATCCATTTCCATTGCCATATATTTGCATGTTTCAGAGAAAAAGCCAATCGCTGGAAAAATGTTGTGATCTTGTGAGTTTTGATTGAGCCAGATTATATCAGCTAGACATTTTCTAACAATGTAAAGCGATCTCACTCCTCTAGAACGCTGCCAAAACTTAATACGCTTGTGATATGTGTGAAGATAAGCAGGGATCACTGAAGATCTGAAGGCACGTGTTCGATCCACGCTCAGAAGTGAAGGTTTAGGGTATCAAATGTTTTTTTTAATGGGAACAATTATCAATGATTTTGGCCTTTATTGGGGCTGTTTTATTAGCACAACCTTTACCAAATTTTAACTTATATTCGATGAACAGCCTTTGGATGAATTTCGCTGGCATAAAGCACATAAACTCGGCCCTGTAGATAAGGCAAAAATCCCGTTTGAAAGGCTTGACAAACTTGGTGGAACCGAGGGTTGGATTGTACATTGCCAACTTTCCAGTGATACTGCTCCGGTATCCAAGTTTCCATAAACTCCTTAAGTGAATGATCGGTGTCTTTGATCAAAAAGTTCCCTGTTTTCCAGTGCTTCGTTTTGGATTATTAAAGGAGAAACGGGACAGATATAGCGTTTGCCAACGGCCATGGCATAAAACTCACCTACTCCAAACCAAGGTTCCCGCGGGCCATAGCCATCGAACAAGACCTTTTCCAGCTGAACAAGCTCATCCGTTCTTGGGCACCGGTTATGAAACCCGAGTTCAGAAACCATGAGCCAAGTCCTGGTACCATACTGCTTAGCCAGATCCTCGGCAGGGGCCACCCTTTGCCCTGTAGAACGGCGCATAACTAACAAGATAACCAAATGAGCATGTAGAGTGAGCGGATTAGAATTTACCTTCTTATTGAGAGTTTCCTCCCTGATATGGTTTAGGGTTTACAGCCTGGATCGAGCCGAGTGTTTTGTACCCGTGCAGCATCGCCAGATATAGTCTTCTTCTCGAGTCGGGGTGGGGTACATGCTGTTTACATTCCGGTCCAAAGAAATAAATCTTATACCATACATTCCTGGGTCGGCGGTTTTTCGAGAAGACCTTGGGGCGATCGAGCTTGAGCAAATGAAGACATAGTCTTTGAAGACCTTGCATTGACTATAATTGACCCTGCATTGACTTTTCGAGCTCGTGATCTCGGTCCGGCCTCGCACAGAGACGCCTTGCATCACGAGGTCTAAGAGAAAGAAGCGCAAGCGGCATTGATGCATAGAGCAGCTTTAAGCAACAAAAGACCGAGCACCCAAAGCAGCGGTGAGCACAATGGTTTCACCATTTAGTTCAGTGGGAAAAGTGAGAGATCTCAAACGGGAACACTATGGACGCATAGAGCTTTTCGACTCCACGATCAAACCCGGAGGATCCAACTCATAAGTTGAGCCCAATTTTTCCTCCTCTGGCGAAACTCTAGACGCAAACATATCCAAATGATAAAATCAAATTTATGATGAAGAAACGATGGGTCGGGAACTGTGATGATCCTGCTCTTGATATCTGCCGGTTTTTCCAAGGTAAGGAATTCTCGGGTTCTAGACGGGGAAAGAGACGCTTCCTTTCTTCCTGGAAGGGAGATCGTGTTAGTAAAATGTACCTTAAACAAGACGCTGTCAACTTCTCCCAAGCTCCAAGTCAGTCGACGGATGGTGCCAGAAGATGGTGCCGGCTGACAGGCTCGAAGCTCTCTCAGAGGGTGCTCGGTGGATCGCCACTCACGGGAAACGTCTTACGCTCGCTTGCTCTGGATGTCCTTAAGACTTTGCGATAAAGCTGGACGAGGCCATAGCAAAGTTGGCACTTCCTACGGGGCCCTTGGATTGAATTCTTATACAACTGGAAGAAACAAGCGTACCACAAAACAGCTGATATGCTTTCTCCGGTTATGGTCATACCCACGAAATTTGAGCGTTCTAACTGATTCTATGCTCCTCCTCCAGCCCGGCAATCACCGCTTGCTCGTCCTCCTTTGCCTCGCTTGTTTCACGACATCTAGCAAAATAAACAAACATTAGAAATTTCTTGCTCCATTGCAAAAGGTGCAGTTATGAATCCTTTCTCACACACAAACATGTCAGTGATCTTATCCTCAAACAAAGATATGAGGCCATGATGATCATGGCCGACTGGAGCCTGTAGTTTCAGACCTTGATATGCTTGCATAGTGGAAGGATACCTCAAGAGCTGGGATGGATGGAAGAACATTTGCGAAAATGTTTCCCACCTTTCTTCCAAAAGCCCCTGGCTTGGTCCTATCGAAGAATATAAGTTCCTCCCCACAAATTTGTTTGTTGCACCACCTACCCAAGTTAAAAAACCAGAAGGAAGATATATGACACAAATGTACCTTGTGATATTACTGTGGATAATAATTCACAGGTTAAAGATTTCAAGTTCATGGTGGAAGATTGTGAATTTAAAACAACTCTGACTGTCTTACCAGGGTATGTGAATCTATCGAGCACTGATCACTTTTTTTCCCTGTAGAACCTGATCTTTGCCATTTTCTTTCTCGAGTCTCCTCGTTCAGAAATATGTTCTCCACAAAACCTCTCTCCCCGATCATCGCAAGTACACATTGAAGAGGATCTCTGGAGTCCAAACTTGGCCTTGTGTCTTTGATGATTCGATCAAGCTGCGCGAAGTTTCGAATGAAAATCTCGCCACTCAAAGCGAGGGAAAACGCATGCAGAAAGAAAAAGGCTTGATCAGAAAGGATCGATGGCAATGAACAGAATAGATTGATCGCAAGGACGCTAGATCGCAAGGCACATGGCCATATGGCATTCGAGGTATTGAGCATCTAGCCTGCATCGGATCTATCTTGCAGTAGCTACCGATAGATAAAGGGCACAGGAAGGGAGATCAGAAATATCCAGGGGCTGGATTAACAGATTTTCCAGCTCACAAGAAGAGCAGGCCGATAGAAGCGGAAGAATTTGAATAGAAATGCTTAAACCCAAGATTTTTTATACCAAGCAATCTTGGAGGCCATCTCATTTTCCATCGCTCCGGCCGTACTTGGTAATTCGTGATCATGGCAGTCCACGAGACGATGAAAGAACTCTCCCGGCCTACATGTGTACATGTATTGGCCACCATCCAGGGTACCCAACGAGCGGCTGAGGCACATACTAGGCATACAACAGAAAAGATCTGTGAAGAGAAAATGAGTTGCAATTCACATGTCAATCACACTCTGTATACAGGTGCGTGATTCCTGGAGACCTGAGCAGATCAACAACTATTACCTTCCACAATCTGGAGGAGAGCAGGCAGCATAAAGCTGCTCGCTCGAAACCTTGTTGTTCTATCACTTGGATGGCTTCCATAATCCTTAGGTCCTGGAGGATTGCAGTCCACAGCCCCACGTCCCACTATTCAAACACCTTATCTGGATTCCACATTGCAAATGCAGTGGTGCGCATGGATCTTTTCTACGTCGCCCAGATTGTCATAGCAGGAGAGAAGCGTCGTGTACGTGAATTTGTAAGCATCCTCTCGTGAATCGCAAATGCCTTTCTTTGCATAGCCCGCACTGGGCATAAGCGTCGTTCATCGCATTCCAAGCCACCAGATCTCTCTGCCCCAACTTCTTAAGACTCTCGCCAGCCAATCAAGCCTCCTGGAGCGATCCATACATTCTCAGAAGGTCTGTAGCAATCTGCAAAGGTCAGGATCGATCAAGCAAGGTTCCAGCCTCAAGTAAGACCTCACTAGGCTAAGATCACCAAGAGAATTAAAGCCCTAGAGAAGATGTTCCACTCGAGCGTCGTTGGCGCTGCCATAGTTTGCCAATTCTGACATCTGTTTTAGGGCTGACTGGCTTATTAACCTTTTACCAAACTCTCTGAAGATATTTCAATCTCCTTGGTAACTCGAAATGGATATGGAACTAGTTTTAGCTGTGACAGCTCTTGTTCAAGAGATTGGGATCCATTATATAAACTTTGGCCTCCAACACTTCTACAGATCCATCAGCTGTGATGGCTTCTTGTTCTGGAACTGTTCTTGCAATCTTTGCTCTTTTGCTTAACATTGTGCTGCTTTCTCAGGCACGAGCAACGCCAGCAACGCCAGCAACGCCAAAGTCGAGCTCGTCGATCTGTCCAACCGCAGTCTTCACCTTTGCAGATTCTCTCAGCGATGGCGGCAACCGCGACATTGAAGCCGGTGGCGGCAAGACTTTATCGGGCAGGTACCCATACGGGATCACCTACGGGAAGCCCACTGGACGCTACTGCGACGGGCTCGTCATCCCCGACCTCCTGCTCCAGAAGCTCCGCCTCGACAACCTTGGAACTCCCAGCCTCAAGTACAATGGCACCGAGTTCGAGAGCCTCAACTTTGGATACGCCGGAGCCACGGTGATCAAGGTCGAGAACCAGCCATACTCGAGCCCACATGTCTTGTCCGCCCAGGTTGACGACTTCGTGCGCCACCAGGAGTTTGTCGAGGGTCGATATGGTCGCCAGGCGAGCAAACCATGGTACGAGAATGCACTCTACTCGGTCGAGATTGGAGGGGACGATATCAACTTTGGTTTGCCACTGGGAGGCGGCCACGTGATCAATGTCACCATCCCGGCCGTGATCCAAGGCCTGGCCGATGGAATTCAGAAGCTATATGCTCACGGAGCTCGTCATGTTGTGCTCTACAACATGCCCCGTGCCGATTGCTCTCCAAACTATCTCCAATCTTTCCAACAGTACCCCGCTGGTACATTCCACTATGACAAGGATGGTTGCATTGTTGAGATTGCCCAGATTATCTCCTACTTCAACACCAACATCCAGAGGCTGACGGAGGAGCTGACGCAAAAATACCAAGGTCTCACTGTCTATTATTTCGATTGGTTTGCAGCAAACACCTATGTTTTGGAGAATATGAAGGAGTTTGGTTTCACGAACTCACTCCAGTCATGCTGCGGTGGAGGTGGCAAATTTAACTGTGATGGTGAGGGTCTTTGCGGGTGTGCTCCACTGAACCAGACCAATGCTGTTTACACGGTGTGTAAGGATCCCAGCAAGTATTTCACTTTTGATGGCATTCACTACACAGAGCACTTTTACGAGATCATGTCCGAATATATCATGGCTGGAGAGTACATCACACCAAAGGTGAAGCTGGAAATGGGTTGCAAGATCGTCACCGTACCAGAAAGTCCTCTTTGAAACAAAGGAGTAACCAAGTTCATGTAATTCACACAAACTCGCTCTTCTAATTTAACCCATATTCGCCTTTTTGATTACGTAAATCGGAACAAGCTCCGCAAATCTCCCCTCTCAAGAACGTTCACGATGGTTGAAGGGAATCTCCTAGAGGATCAGCCCGCTCACCCTTGCCTTGCGATCGCCCATCTCGCCTCAGCCTAGCGCGTCACCTCTAGTGATCCCCAACAACATGGCGTTGTGCTCGGGCATGGAATCAAACACGCAATGCCTGGAACGCCGCCGTGGAGCTGATGAGATCCATCTCGGGCATCGAATCGAAGAGCTGCTGCCTGGTCCAGGATAGCACGCAGAGATAAGAACAGGGTTTCCGTCCCGGCTCGTGCCCATACATTGTGGGAACTTCTGGAAGAAATTGAGGGCCTGATCGATTCAGGAGTTTTGGATCGATCACTGTCCAGGACACCGTACCATATACAACATCCGGGGACATTGAGGCCTGATCGCCGTCCATGATGCTATGGACTTCTCTTCACACAACGCGTCAAACACTGCCTGGTTTCTCCTAGATGCCCGTTTTGGGAAAATGCTGCAATCAGTCCGGTCCAAGTGATTTTACTCATTTTCGGTATTTGATAGACAGTAATAAGCTTATTGTACGCGACTGGGATGAGGAGATTAAAGAGTAATTTATAGAGTAGCCGCTGTAGTGGTTTGATCGAGATCGCTGCAGCCCCCAAACTCTCATTGTAGAGGTATGCTTTTACATTTTAACTTAATCATATTGAAGTTATTGTCTAAAACCATCCAAGCTCAGTTTGGGAGAGCGCCAGACTGGATCTGAAGGCCGCGTGTTCGATCCACGCTCACCGCATTATCTTTGATTCGTTGGTAGCTGGTGTGGAGGAATCTTTCGAGCCTGAAGAAAAAAGAAAACGAAGAAACATAAAACATGAGAGAAAATATTGCCGAGGTCGTCCTTTGCAGCCACCAAGCTCACATCTGCCAGTCCACAACTCAAAACGATGAGAAACCATGGTTTTATGTTCCTGGGCCGGGCAGCCTGGTGACATATGTGGCAACGATTGCTCTGGATCTAGTTTTTTCCACGATCCATCCAGCAAGGTGCGACCATTAGGGGACAGCGACTCACGGATTCAAGCTGCTCCTTGCATTTGTTCTGTGCTTGGTCTACTGGAGCTGAGAAAGCTCAACCAACAATTGGATTTTCATCAAGACCAGTCAGTAACTACTTTTGCGCTTGAGTAGAGGGAATAGGCGAAAAGGTTTTTCATTGACGCCCGAAAGGTACGGACTGAAACGATAACAGCATTTGCCCGAAACGGGCAACTCGAAGAAGTGTTTCACGCGCGCTGCTCCTGGTGAGTAGCAGGCAGCTCGAATCGTGTTTTGGTTCGATATTTTATCTTTTTTGCGGCGGAGAGATTTCGTGCGGATTGGATGTGAGTCCCAATGCGGCATTGGAGCTGCTCCAGTGCCAAGCTTACGTAGTTCTAAAATGTCTCGCCCAGGCTCAGCTCATCTTCTAGCAGCTCAGAAGAATTTGCGATGACCTCTTCTTCCTGCAGCAGTGAAGAAAGGAGTTCTTCCTTCTGACGTAAGTGATTGGTATGACTTGATTTTTACCCGATGTCACTAGTTGACAACAGGGTTCTAGCTGCAATCGTCCAGGTGCTACAGCAATGTCGGCCTCATGTTATCATCACTAGTCGTTTGGCCGATGTTGCGCGTTCCTGGGCGGATGGTAAGAAACTAGTTTTGGCAACCTGTGATTCATCTGCGACGAATGTTTTCGAGCTTGGCTGGATCTGGAAGCTTGCTCAAGGTGCAGTCGCTGCTCATGTGGATGCCAGGAGGATACTACGTGCATCCAGGTTGTGCTTCAAAGCTGTTAACTTTAAAAAAGAAATGCAGGTGACAAGCTTCCAAGTGTTCTGTTTCCTGATGTTTCGCTGCCATACGCTGACATTTTCTGAGACGGAAAACTGATTGTCACCAATCAACGACGCTACTATATCGGCATTTGCAGCAGGATCTACAAAAAAGATTGTTTTTCGTATATCACCACGGACTCCTTACCTTATCCCATCTGTAAGAAAGGTTGCGGAGAAATCGGCTTGAGCGTGCCAATCTATCGGGTAGACTGGTTTGGTGGCTGTGTCGAAGACGCGGTGAAGGATGTATCGAGCCTTGACATGCAAAACTGCCGCTCGTAGTCCAAGTTGATTTGTGGACTGATGCACTCTCTCGAAGAATGGACCAGGCTGGTCTCAGCGTGGAAACCATACCATATGATCGGACAGCAACCATGTCCACGAAGCAACATCGTCCCCACTAAAAGATCTTCGCTCCAGAGCAAATTCCAAAGCAGTTCAGTACAACAGCCACGGGTTTAGTCTGATTCCAGTCGTAAGTTCCTTGCTGTTCTTGGTTCAGTTTCAACTTTTGTGACAACACCAGGCTAAGGGTAAGTGGTGCGACGAGAATGGATTTCCATGAGGACATCGCTGGCAGGTTTGAAAATGATTCCTGCTCCATCTTTCATTATTTATATGAACAGGAGTTTCATTGCCGCCGGGTTACAAAATCGTTGTGTGTTCCTCAGTTGTAGGACATTGGAGTCAAGTTTGTTGGAGAAGGTCCGTTTACGACCACACCCTGTACATCAAACTGCGATCCATGGCAAGGGCAGTCGAACGTCTTATCGCTCGGGTTCCACTTGACGGCGCAGCCTAAGTGTGGACATATAGCTGTGCAGAGAAATTGTAAACTTTTAGAACATGAAAGGAGCGTTTCTTCCATACCGGAATATCTCTGCACGTTCCCTGAAGAGTCTCTATATACTGCTTCTTTGTTCAATCCTTCTTGGATGATAGCTCCCTCGTCAAGTAGGATGCTGTCCACGGTGAGCTTCGTCAGTCCTTGTCCCGGGAGGACGTTTTTAAAACCCTGTAATGAAGTGGCTTGAACTTAATCCGAGTGAAAACAGAAGCTTACCTCAATATTCTCCCCGACTTCTTGGGCAAGCATTTGGGCCGAGGTCAGTGAAGCCGGAGGGAACCGAGAAGGATCAAAGAGGTCGCCCCATCTGTGTTTGTGTCCGAGAATCGAATTCGAAATCACTACACCAGCTATAGTGCCACCAGTCATTCCCTGGCCGCTGTCACCTGAATCAAACATACTCGAATCCGTAAACACAATTTGTTTAAGAACGGGCAACACTCACCGGTCGCAACATAAACATTCTCGGTGTTCAATGGATCATGACCGTGTAGATGGAGGAAATCTGATGGCATATAGACCTAGTAAAATGAAACAAGTTAGACTTGTTCACCAATCTCAGACCAACCTGGCCAGACCACTTGTACAGTAGCTCCTGAGCTGCAGGCCAGTGAGAACGAGCCCATGCCTCTAGACTGCCATGCCGGTCCAAGTATTGATTCGGCTCAATTCCAACTTTGTGATCCTCTCCACCAACGACCAAGACTTCATAGTCGTCCTTGTCCTCAAGCCTTACGTAATGGTAAGGAGAGGCTGTATCCCACCATGAGGCGCGGCTGTAGGAAAAAACACACCTCTATAGTATTCAAAGAAAAAGCAATTTCTTACTCGATAGCTCCCTTGGGAACTTTGAGGCCAACCACGTAGCTTCGTCGTGCGTACTGTCGAGCATGAATTGCCAAGTTTTTGTTGATGGGGGAGTTTGTAGCTAAGACGAGAGCCTTGGCTGTGACGGTGTGACCTGCGTCCGTTACGACTTTAGTCCCTTCATGTTGAACGACTGATGTCTGCTCGAAGATTTGAGCTCCATGCTTCTTGGCTGCCTCTGCCAGCCCCTTAACATACCTTTCCAGAAGGTGTGTTTCAGCTCGTGCAAAGCAATGAAAGGGGAAGAAACGGGCTTACAATATCGGCTGGAACTCCCCCGCGTTTGGAAAGACAAGGGCCATGCCAAAATTTCCGTTTTTGGGATCGTGTTTCAAATCCTCGAGCCGCACGTCATTTAAACCCGCTCGTTTGCATGCTTCGTACTCCTGGAATCAACCCGGCTGATCAGAAAATCAGGTCCACCAAACATGCTTGGTCTCTACTTTACGGATTTTTTCGGCATTCTGTTGGTCGTCTTCAACTGGCACAAGGTACCCTGGAAGTCTTCTAAAATTGCATTCAATACCCTCTTCCTTGACGACATTCTCTATCCAATCAATCGCGCCATATTGTGCATCAGCAATGAGGTTCAATTTATCACTCCCAAGGGTGCTCTCTGCTTCGAAGTAGTAGTCATCAAACCATGGCATAAGATGTGCAGTTGTCTTGCCCGTTTGGCCGCTTCCTAAAGTTTTCTGTTGCTATAAGTGAACAATAGGACAAACGAAACTCACCTATCGCACGAGCCTCCAAGACTACAACCTGTTTGCCAGCTTTGGCAAGATTGTAGGCTACGCTTATACCAGCGATTCCTCCTCCAACCACAATGACATCTGCATGCGTGTTCTGCTGAAGCTTCGGGTTGCTTGGCACAGCAAGCTGCTTTTGGTCCCATACTGTATCTCGAACACCTGGTACTGCACCCTTGCCTGTGGAAGGCGTAGATCCCTAATACAATCCACTGAACAATTGAGCCACATGAACCCAGGAAAACCACAAATCGACCCTTACCTGCTTCTCAGTTTGTAGCGTACACCTTGCGGTATTTTTACTCCATCTCCCGAGCGGGATTTTCTTCGTGGGGATGTCACTGATGCCAAGCTTCCTAAACGTTGAACTTGGAATCGCTACGCAGTGCAGACAGTGCGCCATTCTAGACAACCAATGTAGAGCCTCTGCTATTTAGATGCCTCCCATTGCATGCCTTGACAAGCGCCGGTTCCTGAGGCATCCATGCGTCGAGGGCTGAGCTCTCCAGGTGGGTTCCTTCTGTGGAGAATAAAGCGCCACCTGCAGATCCGAAGATTTTTCGCTTTGATCTGCTCTTAGGAGCAAAAGCAACAAAGCATCAAATAATACTCGTGACTGCCTCAAAATCTTGACGCATGGAGGCCCTAGCAATTAAGACCAAGGCTGCAGCCGGTTTGAAAGCCGCACTGGGCTGCCGTAACACCCTTTAAATCAGAGGATAGCGATGAGTTGCAAGTGACGAACATCGACACAGAAAAATCATCGGGAGAACTTGTTACGGGCTTCGCGAGAACGTTGCAGGGTGAGGAGCTTCAAGTCTTTGCATGTCGCCGGATGCGAGTACGTGCACACCGAATGGCCCCGCGACGCGAGCTCGGTGCTGGGAACGTCTCATAACAGTACTGACTGGAAAGAAAGAAAATATAAAAAGGTAAGAAGTAAAAACTGACTCAATTCCACAATCCTTGGAACTTTTATCTGATTCAATCTGAAAGTGAATTGAATAAAAAAAAGAAAAGAAAAACAACAGAACAGAAAAAGCTCCTGTTCTTATAGTAAGCCTTTGAAGCGCAAAGCGGAACAGATTTCCAAGTTCGTCCAGATGGCGGTTCGAGGTAAATGCTGTTTATCATCTGATTCACTACTTTCCAGAATTCAGCCAAACAAACTTTTAGCCTCTTTCACTCGCCAAGCACGCGTAGGCAATGATCATTTGATTCTCATACTGAGCTTGATCCAGATGCCCGTTTTGGCTTCGATCACAATAGATTGGGGCGATCACGGAGAAGACGCCGCGCGCATCGCCGGCCTACTGCTTGGAGCTGCCCCAGGAAATCTCATCTGAAAACGTTATTGCCACCTTCGTCCTTGTCATTAGAAGATCTCACAGATACTAGGAGGAGATTGAAGAGGAACTCGTTAGAGTAGCCGCTGTACAACATCTGGCGTCACAAAGAAGAATTGCTGTGAATTGGACTAATTTTATTAAGCTCAAGCGGGGATAGCTCAGTTGGGAGAGCGTCAGACTGAAGATCTGAAGGTCGCGTGTTCGATCCACGCTCACCGCATTCATCAACTTTTGAAGTGGTTGCGCTGCAACTAATCTTAATCTTAATGCGTGGTTTCCGGAGCAGTCTCTAGCCACTTGTCTCCAGCGAGCAACCTATACAGAGCTAGAAAACAGCTCGCGTTCTGGCAAAGATGCTACAAAGAACAAAAATTCAAACTTCAAAAAACAAAAATTCTACTCCATCAGTAGTGTGGGTACTTCTTCTTCTTCTTCTTCTTTCTGTGTTTTCATTGGTTTGGAACTCGGTATGTTTCAGCGAGCTCATGAATTGACAGCTTTATCATCTTGTCTTTATGTAGTCCACTGTTATGCACGATGGAGCCAAACTCGTCTTCCTGGACGGGAGACTGTAAGAGAGCAGGCTCCTTTTCCTGGCGATGGATCAAACGGATATCATCTCCTAATGTTTGCGCAGCTTACTTTTGGGTTGAGCGTCTCAGCGGCAGTGTAAGATCCATCCTATCCGGTAAGCGCTTTTTCCGTTTGTTCTCTTCTTGTTTTTTCTTTTCCAGTTGTTTCACAGCCAAAAGAGTTTTCGGTTATGTTGACACGGTTGTGATGATCGGACAAACCAGCACTCTCCAAAAGGACAACACTATCCATACTTATGGAAACATCGTCTACATGAAATGCATATCTACTATACGATTCGGACGATTGTCCTAAGACCATCACAGTAAAAGTCAATGATAATTTGGACAGGACTAAATGAGGTGGCCATGGAGACTGGATCCCTCCAAATACGCTGCATTCTAGCTGATAGTCGTCCCCAATCAGCTGCTCTATAACGATGGCTTTCCAGTAAGAAACGTCTTTAACCGTGTTATATGCACTTGCTTCAATGGAGCGTCCAACACCGCTCAAACAGGAGGCTTGGACATGCAAGTGATAGTAAGCAAGTCTGACCTCCACCTCCACATCATCCAGAAGCCGATACCGTCAGAGGATCTCAAGGTCTGTCCATCTTTCTCCTAGAATGCAGAGTATTTGGAGGGATCCAGTCTCTATGGCCACCGATTTTTCACTCGTTTAGTTCTCTCCAAAATATAAATCACTTTTCTTGTGATGGTCTTAGGACAGTCGTCCGAATCGTATAGTAGATGTGCATTTCATGTAGACGATGTTTCCATAAGTATGGATAGTGTTGTCCTTTTGTCCTTCTATGGTTATCTCTTAAGGTTTCTAAGCAATGGACGGCGTTATTGCTTTACAAAGACACCACGAGAATCCTTGTTAACACTCTCGGATTTCAAACTTATGGAGCTCCATACGTGGAGGTATTTAGCGGTATTGTAATTTGTACCAAAATTGGGGCAGGCATTTTATGGCGGATGGTCATATTTGTAAGACTTGTGGGGTGGAGTTCCCTCCAACATCCTCCCAAGGCCCGCCTTCGTCGTGTATTATTTGCTCCGATGATCGCCAGTTCGTTCCAAGGTATGCCCATCTAAGATTTTTGCCCTCGAGTTTTCCTGACATTTAGTTTTAGGGAAGGCCAGGTATGGACGTCCATGAGCAAGATGAGATTGCAGTTTCGCAATGGTTTCAAGAAGCATGAGCCGCAGGTCTTCGAGATCATAACCTTTCCAAAGTTTGGCATTGGACAGCGTGCGTTTCTCATCCAGACTCAAGGTATGTATGTTTGGAGCTATGGCCGTTGTGCATTTTTTTTAATGGTTTTTATGTTTTTGATAGAGGGAAACATACTGTGGGACTGCATCTCATTTCTAGACGATGCCACAGTGGAGATAATCAAGTCGCTAGGTGGATTGAGAGCGATTGCCATCTCTCACCCGCATTACTACAGCACAAACTCTCGATGGAGCGAGGCTTTTGGAGGCGTCCCGGTTTATATCCACGAATGGTATTGTCTACCTTTGTTTCTCTCTTTCATTTCGATTTCTCTGTATCGATACTATGGCAGGGATAAGAAATGGGTGGTTTACCAGCACGAAAACGTAAAGTTCTGGGAGGGCAAAACATTCCAGCTATGGGAGGGACTCACGCTTTTACATTTAGGTGGCCATTTTGCTGGTGCTCAAATCCTCCACTGGTCTCATGGAGCTCAGGGGAGGGGTGTTTTATTCACTGGAGATATCTTACAGGTATAAACTTCTCTCGTTTACAAACTTTGTTTTCGTTTTGTTTTCCTCACTCCATGTTTGATTTGTAGGTGGGGATGGACAACAAAACAGTGAGCATAATGAGATCGTATCCAAACTATATACCACTCTCGTCGAGCCACGCTAAAAGGATAGGCCAGGTAATCGAGCCATGGGATTTTGAGAGGCTCTACGGTGCATTTCAGGACAGAGAGATTGAAGAGAACGCAAAGAGCTGCGTCGTATTCTCTCTGCAAAGGTATATCGATTGGCTCTCTTTGGATGATGCTGCTGCTTAAGTATTAATCAGACTGAATGCTTTTCTGATTATGATTTGCCATGACATTGTTTCCAAAGTTTAAATTGGACATTTGTTTTCGTGAGGGAAACTATGCCACAATCAATTAGAGTGAACAGTGTTACAGCATACACAGTGGATACATGAGTTTCTTTTTTACGAGATCTTTTGTTTAACTTTTTAGCTTCTCCAATGCTTGTCTTACATCTTCAACATTTGAAATTTTCTTTGCTTATTGTCTTCAATTCATCATACTTATGCCCTTTCTTATTTTTGAATGCACGGATAATAATTCCATTGTTAGGCTGCAAGCAAAAGGACTTTGGCTTGTCGTCCACAATCACCATCCCACCCTAATCTCAAAAAATCTTTCACAACCTTTCTCCCTTCGACTTCTTGGTGGAGCATGAATCCTTGTAGAGGTGATGGGCAAAGAGATTCCTAGCTGGGTTGAGCTTATTCAAGTTCTTGTTTACATATGGTTTCACCACTCGGAGTAAAGACCACAATCTCACATATCTTACTCATCTCGTCTAGAAATGTATCCATGCCCAACCTTTTTGCCACAAGATAGCACTTCCAGTGAAAGAGTTTTCCAACTGAAGAGCTTGAGGGACACTGTGGCCTTGTGGGCATGGATTAATTTCTTGTCCATTTCTAACACAAGCATGGTTTCTCCTCCAAAGCTGGTAGTAGTAGCAAAGAATTGTGTGTCACCTCTTCACCTTTACCTTTTTGTTCTTTGTTTTGGTAGTGATGTCTGAGTGTTGCAATACTCCATTCCTCATACTCCCACGTCCTCTTCATTGCATATAGAAAGAATGCGAGCCCTAGCTTAATTGTAAATGATTTTTATAAATCAGGTTAATACACTTTAGTAAATAACCCGCACCAAGAGCCTCTCGGCAGCTGGAGCTCCATATTCAAGATCCTTATGGATCTTCTGGCAAGCAGCAAGACCCAAGCAACACTCATGCTGCTTTTCGGCCTCGGCCCTTGCAAACACTTCCACAAGCCTGCAATAGTGTTCTCCCATGGGCTTGACTCCATAGTCCTGGATCATTGACTGAAAGTAGTCCCAAGAGATTTTCATGATGCCTGAGTGGCAGCATGCTGCAAGCACGCTCGTAAAGACAACATCACGCTCTCCAGAATGATCCTATGGAAGGTTTCCAAGGCTTCTGTCACATGCCCGGTGGAAGCATACATGGCCACCCCACTGCAGTCTGTGAGACCAAGTCTTGCTTTGGCATTCTCTCGAACCAAACTCAATCCTCCAAGAGGAGTCCCTTGCGACGCCCGCCCTCTGGAAGAGCCTCATTGCTTCTTGGAGGTGGCTGTTCCAGAGATAGGCTGAGAGGAGTGCTGTGCTTGCCGTCTTGCTATCGTAAGGCACTCGATTGAAAATAAATTTTGCATTTTTGAGATGGTTTCTAGAGACAAGCAGATGGATCATTGTCGCCCAATCGCGGTGAGCCATCTTTTAGTGCCTCTTCAAAATGCCCATTCTCGGCATATGCACAAAGCATGGAATTCTAAGCCACCACATCTTTTTTTGGCAGCCTCTCAAAAACATATTTAGCCTCTTCTACGCAGCCATTAGATGCGTAGCCGTCGATCATAGCCGTAATTTCCACCTCATTAAGTTCCGGGGCATTTTCAAAGAGACTCTTTTCTTGCTCCATATGCCCTTCCTGGGCACATGCTGTGATCCTGGTCGTCCATGTTACTACATTCTTTGTGGGCATTCTATCCAAGAGATCTTTAGCTTCATCTAGCCGCTGGTTCTGGAAGTGGCCTTAGATCATAGCCCTCCACGCCACCACGTCCTTTTGGGCCAGGGAATCGAACACCTCACGCGCATGTGAGTGATGCCGGTTATGGGCATATGCCACGATCATGGCGGTGCTAAAAACGAGGGTTTGCTATACCGCCTCCTCCTCGCGGAGATTGCCACTCTGCGAGCACATCGCGGTCATCGCGTTCCAGGTGATGGAATTCTTGGCAGGGATGAGGTCGAAGAGCTGCTGCACGTCCCCGGCCCCGAAGGGCGGCAAGCTCTTGGATACCAGGAACGCGCATCGCATCATGGCCGTTGGATGATGGACGGGGTGGACGTCCGAGGTTCAAGTCCTGGCTTCCATGTCAAGCACCATGGTCCGGGAACGAGGGTGTTTTTGTGCATATATAAAAGACTCACATTGTCAAATTCACGTAACACACCAAGTTGTGCCTCTTCAACTCCCAGATACCATCTTTATACGTCTTGAGCACAATCCCGAGGCATTGCATTGCCATCCATATTCCAGTGTTTGACGTTTTAGTCGCATTAATATCATTCATTAACTTTGATACCAATCAAGAATTGTGATACTTGAGCAGCAGAGTCTTCCAAAGGGAGCAAATCGCTATATCTTTGACGACGCAGCTCTTTGCGTTATCCCTGTCTTGATTGAAACGCTAGAGCCTCCCAAAATCCCATGGCTCGATTAACTGTAGCATGACTTGCCAAAAAGAGGTATCGACGTTTTAGAGGCTTTGAGACGCTCCCAAAGAAAGACGTGGTGGCCTGGTGGCCTGGAACTCTATGCTGTGCGGATATGGCGCGAATGATCTCTTCAAAAAGATGTCTCACCGCGACGAGATCTTTTGGACGACACTAGAAACCATCTTGAAAATCCAAAGTTTCTCTTGGATAGGATTAAGAGGCTCCTCCAAGCCTCTTCCAGGGCGTGATGCGATCGCCTGGACGAGGTTGGTTCGAGAGTGCGAGACTTACCAAAATAAAAAACAACACTTCTTTACTCAAACAGTAGATGTCAAACCTTACAGGACAGCCAAAGCTGCGGCGGCGGCAGCGATGGCAGTGGCGGTGGAGGTGGCGGAGCACCGAGAAGAACCACTGTCGTCAAATATGATTTGTGAACAGACTGGGCAGTTTGGGAAGATCCCTCCACCACTTCCTTTTGATCCACCGCCTCCTTTCGATCCTCCACCACTTCCTTTGGATCCTCCACCGCTTCCTTTTGATCCACCGCCTCCTTTCGATCCTCCACCACTTCCTTTTGATCCACCGCCTCCTTGGGATCCTCCACCACTTCCTTTCGATCCTCCACCGCCTCCTTTGGATCCTCCACTTCCCCTGCTAAGAGGATCTCTCCTTCCTTCAATTCCCTCTGCGAGCAACAGTAGCGCCACCATCACCACCACCACCATTAACATCTTGACCTGAGCCATGGCTGTTTTTAAAAGGAAACTTTGCTGGATTTATAGAGCTTGTGATTTAGGTCATTTGGGTTTTTAGGTCTAGGGTTTTAGCGATGGAGGTGGAGCGAATGGACGAGGAGGAGGAGGATGTGCGCGACAAGATGGAAAGAATGGAGGTGTCGGACAAGAGGCCAGTGGTGCTGATCGTCATCGGAATGGCCGGTGAGTGCATTGCTCTCCCACCCCACCAGGCCGAGAAATTCCCTCTTTCTCCTCCTCCCTTGCGTAGGCAGTGGGAAGACGACGCTGATGCAGCGCCTTGTCGGGGAGATCCACGCCATGAAGCAGCGGCCCTACGTTCTTAATCTCGATCCCGCGGTGCCGTCGGTACCTTACGGCTGTAACATCGACATCCGTGACACTGTCAACTACAAGAATGTGATGAAAGAGTACCGCCTCGGACCGAATGGAGCGATTCTCACATCGCTCAATCTCTTCGCGACGAAGATCGATGAGGTGAGCTAGTGCTTTTTCTTGCGTTGAAAACGAAAGGAGTTCGCGGATCATACTTGCTGGTTTTGTTCTTAGATCGTGAGCCTTGTGGAGAAGAGAGCCAACGAAGTGGACTACGTGCTCATCGACACACCCGGACAGATCGAGATTTTCACTTGGTCGGCGTCGGGCGCGATCGTCACGGAGGCCTTTGCGTGCACCTTTCCGACGTCCGTGATCTACGTTGTGGACACCTCTCGCTCCGTCAGCCCAGTTACGTTCATGAGCAACATGCTCTACGCCTGCAGCATTCTCTACAAGACGCAGCTGCCGTTCATTGTCACGTTTAACAAGACGGACGTGGTGAAGCACCAGTTCGCTCTCGAGGTACCTTTCTGCTTGCCAGGTTGAGACGCGTGTTTCAAAGAATTTTTCTCGGTGCAGTGGATGAAAGACTTCGAGGCTTTTCAGTTAGCAGTCGAGTCGGACACTTCGTATGCTGCGTCTCTCAGCAAGAGCCTGTGCTTGGTCTTGGACGAGTTTTACAACAACCTTCGATCGGTGGGGGTTTCAGCCATCACTGGATCCGGAATGGTGGAGTTTTTCAAGGCGGTGAAGGAGAGTGCCGAGGAGTACAGGACAGGCTACTTGTAAGTCTTTCTTGGTGTTTGTTTTTAAATTTTTTTCTCTTCGGGTTTATCAAACGAGCATGCTTGAGTAGGGTGGAGCTCGAGAAGAAGAAAGCCGAGAAAGCGAGGCTTGAAGAGAAGCGCCGTCAAGCAGACATGGATCGGCTCCGCAAGGACATTGAAGAGTCGAAAGGAGGCAAGGAGGTTTTGAGCACCAAATCCAGGAAACAAGAAGACGATCCTGATGAAGACGAGGAAGACGAATATGACGACTGACCACTAAATAGGTAGAGTTTTATGTAAAAAAGATAGCTGGGAAGAAAAGTCTTTTGGTGCCAAGGCTCGATCAAAGATTTCGCCCACACAAAACGGCTTTGATTAGGAGCTTATATGTACTGAAAAATGCTATGCAATCAGGTAACTTTCAGGATCACTAATTCTGATTAGTGAATTGTGCTTATTCTTTTTCATAAGAAGTATATTTTTTTTGTTTGGTTTAGATTTTAGGTTTTTTTAATTTTTGATGGTCGTGATTTATTTTATTAAAAACTATGGTTTAAAAATCTTAATCAAAATGTTTTTTTTTTCTCTTAACAACTTATTAATTTGTTGTTATAAACTTCAACAAATTATGACATGATTATCCTCATTGCAATCAGAACAAGATGTCTCAGCTGGATGTTTGACCAGTGACGTACTGTACGTCAAGACAAAGGCTGCATTGGCTCAAAAATTATGCAGACAATGAGGATGTTGATCATTTAAGGTTAGTAATGAAGCAGCTCTTGAAACTATGATCAAGATATTGAAGACTACCTATGTAAAAGTTGAGGTTGAGGTCTAGTTGTAGAAAACTGAAGAGACTTGAAGTGGAAGAAGACAAACCACTAAGCTCTCGTGATTCAACAGGTAAGATAATTAAAATATAGTTAACTCACAATTGAGGAGCACTTGCTATTTTCTAAACAAACTGATTAGCACAATTCTTCACTTGAACAGCCTGAGATGAGTACATATTGGAGGCACTCCAAAGATAAGGGAGTTACATGCACGAAAAGAGGAGGTGTATAATAAAGTGGCTAAACAACTTCAAATTTGTCTAGTTTCCACTAATTTAAGATTTTAATAATCTTATTGTTTTCTACGGGAATTAAAGTGAAGAGCAGTGGTTTCTTGGTTAATGCTTTGACGGAATTTATGTCTCAAATCTACTTGATTACCAAGACAAATCTCAACATCACCTCCGAAAATAACACCTTTGACATTGAGGAACTCAATCTCATGGATTACTTTGCTGCATGGCTATGTCGAGAGAGGACCTCAAAGAAGCTAGCAGCTAGCTAGAAGGTAAGAGTTCTCATGCAACTAAGAGCCAGGATTAAGGGATATACAAGCAGGATGCACATATTCTCTTGATTTGTTACAACTTCTAAGGAACATACAAAAGTAGTGAGCTATAGTGAACTGAAAAATCCATAGTAAAATGGCAGTAAGGAGTGTTCATATTTTAATCTAGATTGTAAGGTTTGGCATCTACTGTTTGAGTAAAAAAGTGTTTTTTCTTTGTAAGTCTCGCACTGGAATTCTCTCGAACCAACCTTAAGCCTGCCACCACTGCCGTCCAGCCGATCGCAAGGATTGGAGGTGGCAGAGGAGCCTCTTAATCCTACCCAAGAGAAACTTTGGATTTTCAAAATGGTTTCTGGTATCGTCCAAAAGATCTGGTCGCGGTGAGCCATCATTTCAAAGACACCATTCGCGGGATATGTGCATATGCGCACAGCATAGAGTTCCAGGCCACCACGTTCTTCCCTTCAACGTCGATACCTCTTTCCCGGCAAGCCCTGCTACAGTTAATCGAGCCATGGGATTTTGGGAGGCTCTAGCGTTTCAATCAAGACAGGGATAACGCAAAGAGCTGCGTCGCCAAAGATATAGCGATTGGCTCTCTTTTGCTGCTCAAGTATCACAATTATCGGTTGGTATCAAAGTTAATGTATGATATTAATGCGACTAAAACTTCAAACACTGGAATTTGATGGCAATGCAATGGGAGGGATTCTGCTCGAGATGTATACTCAATCAAAAGATGAAGAGGCACAGCTTAGTGTGAATTTGACAATGTGAGTCTTGCAAGATGTTCATATATGACACGAAAACATCCTCATTCGATTCTTGGCTGGAGCATCGAAGCCAGGACTTGAACCTCGGACGTCCCACCCCGTCCATCATCCAACGGCCATGATGCGATGCGCGTTCCTGGCGTCCAAGAGCTTGCCGCCCTCGTCGCATCTTGCGACAATCCCAGCGATGGCCGCCGGATCCACGCCCAGAGCAACCACAAGAACGGCGTCTTCCTGCGAAATCTCCTCGTCAAAATGTCTGGAGGAAGCGGGATCGGTCTTTGATTCTAGCTCGGATCCGAATCTCTTCTCTTGGAATCTCACCCTCCAGGCCTACATTCGCAACCACGACCTGGAGCAGGCGCGATCGGTCCTGGAAAGCATGCCGCGGTAGGAGATTGTGTCCAGCAACGCCATTATCTCGGCATACGCCGCGGCCGGGGACGTGCAGCGCGCCAAGCAGCTCTTCGATCGCATCCCTGCAAAGAATTCCATCACCTGGAACGCGATGATCGAGATGTACTCGCCGAGTGGCAATCTCGGCGAGGCGGAGGCGGTATTCCACTCCATGCCGGAGCAAACCATCGTTTGTAGCACGGCCACGATCGTGGCATATGCCTATAACGGGCATCTTTCACGCTTGCACGAGGTGTTCGATTCCATGCCCCGAAAGGACGTGGTGGCGTAGACGACCATGATCCAAGGCTACTGCCAGAACCAGCGGCTGGATTAAGTGAGAGATCTCTTCAATAGAATGCCCACAGGGAATGTAGTAACATGGGCGACCATGATCACAGCATATGCCCAGGGACGGCATATGGAGCGTCTCTTTGAAGATGCTCCGGATCTTAATGAGGTGGCATTTACGGCTATGATCGACGCCTACGCATCTCATGGCTGCGTGGAAGAGGCTTAAGCTTTGTTTGAGAGGCTGCCAGACAAAGACGTGGTGGCCCCCTGCTTTGTGCAAATTGGCATTTGACGAGGCACTAGATTCATTCCAAAGGATGGCTCACCACAACGAGATCTCTTGGGCGACAATGATTCATATGCTCGCCTCTAGAAACCATTTTTAAACTTCAAAGTTTATTTTCTATCGAATGCCTTACGAGCAAGCACAGCGCTCATCTCTACCTCCAAGAAGCGATGAGCCTCTTCCAGGAGATGGAGGAGCGCGATGTGATCGCCTGGATGGCAATGGTGGCAGGCCTCGCTCACAGGGGACTCCTTCGAGTTTGGTTCGAGAAAATGCCAGAGCGAGACTTGGTGGCATGTAACCGAAGCCTTGGAAACCTTCCATAGGATCATCCTGGAGAGCGCGATGTCGTCTTTATGAGCGTGCTTGCGGCGTGCTGGCACTGGTCCATGAGATCAAGTCGACTCACGGGTCGAATTTCTAGGAGAATGATACTAAAGTGTATTAACAAAGATTCTTTAACTTAGGGCTTGCATTCTTTCCTTTTCTTTTTTCAGAGCCATGAAGAGGGCGAAAGAATATGGGGATTGGAGTTTTGCAACGCTCGACATTGCCACCAAAGACAAGAACAAGAAGGTAAAAGTGACACACAATTCTCCATTACTACCACCAGCTTTGGAGGAGAAACCCACACTTGTGTTAGACATAGATGAGACACTAATCCATGCCCACAAGGCCACAGCGTCCCTCAAGCTCTTTAGTGGGAAGACTCTTCCACTGCAGCGCTACCTTGTTGCAAAGCGGCCGGGCGTGGATACATTTCTAGATGAAATGAGTAAGATATATGAGATTGTGGTTTTTACTCGAGCGGTGAAGCCTTATGCGGACAGGATATTGGATAGGCTCGACCCAACTGGGAATCTCTTCACCCATCACCTTTATAGAGATTCATGCTCGCCCAAGGAAGTCAGAGGGAAAAAGGTTGTGAAAGATCTTTCGAGATTAGGGCGGGACCTCAGACACACGGTGATCGTGGACGACAAGCCAGAGTCCTTTTGCTTGCAACCTAGCAATGGACTTGTAATTCGTGCATTTAAAAACAGGAAAGGGCATAAATATGATGAATTGAAGAAGATAAGCAATCTGCTTAAAGAAATTGCAAGAGTTGAAGATGTAAGACAAGCATTGGAGAAGCTTAAAGGTTAGACAAAAGATCTTGTAAAAAGAAACTCATGTATCCACTGAACAATGTTTTGGCAAATCATAATCAGAAAAGCATGTAGAGTTTCAGTCTGATTAATTACTTGAGAGCCAATTGACATTAAGCAGCAGCGTCATCCAAAGATAGCCAATCAATATACCTTTGAAGAGAGAATACGACGCAGCTCTTTGCGTTCTCTTCAATCTCTCTGTCCTGAAACACACCATAAAGCCTCTCAAAATCCCATGGCTTGGTTAACTGGTTTATCCTTTTAGCATGGCTCGACGAGAGTGGTAGATAGTTGGGTACACTTACAAATCAAACATGGGGAGCGAGGAAAAAAAAACGAAAACAAAGTTTGTAAACGAGATAAGTTTATACCTGTAAGATATCTCCAGTGAATAAAACACCCCTCCGTTGAGCTCCATGAGACCAGTGGAGGATTTGAGCACCAGCAAAATGCCCACCTGAATGTAAAAGCATGACTTAGCTGGAATGTTTTGCCCTCCCAGAACTTCACGTTTTCGTGCTCGTAAACAACCCATTTCATATCCCTGCCAAAGTATTGATACAGAGAGATCGAAATAAAAGAGAGAAACAAAGGTAGACAATACCATTGGTGGATATAAACCGGGACACCTCCAAAAGCCTCGCTCCATTGAGAGTTTGTGCTGTAGTAATGCGGGTGAGAGATGGCAATCGCTCTCAATCCACCTAGTGACTTGATTATCTCCACTGTGGCATCGTCTAGAAATGAGATAGTATGTTTCCCTCTATCAAAAACATAAAAACCATAAAAAATGCACAACGGCCATAGCTCCAAACATACATACCTTGAGTCTGGATGAGAAACGCACGCTGTCCAATGCCGAACTTTGGAAAGGTTATGATCTCGAAGACCTGCGACTCATGCTTCTTGAAACCATTGCGAAACTGCAATCTCATCTTGCTCATGGACGTCCATGCCTGGCCTTTATATCCAACCGCGCAGTGGCGTTGGATCATGGCCGTCCACGCCAACGAGGCATCATGGGCGTTGGATGAAGGACGAGATCGGTCCAGGACGTCCAAGGCTCAAATCCTGGCAAGGCGGACGCTCCATTGTTCTAGGGTTTTGATTGGCGGACGGAGCGAGCGGTCGATCGAGCGGCGGCAGCTATGGGCGGAGGCAATGCGCAGAAATCGAAGATGGCCCGCGATCGGAACTTGGAGAAGGCCAAGGCGAGCGGCAAAGGTGCGCAATTTCTTCTCGGAAAAGAATTTTGCTTGATTTCCATCTCGTTTCTGGCAGGTAGCCAACTCGATTCCAATAAGAAAGCTATGAACATCCAGGTATGAGAACTCTTCCTTCTCGACTGCTCGATGCGCTTGATGGATTTTCGTGCCAATCTTTCCTCTTGGCAGTGCAAGATTTGTATGCAAACGTTTATGTGCACGACGAGTGAGGTGAAATGCAAAGAGCACGCCGAAGCGAAGCATCCCAAGGTCGATCTTCACGCTTGTTTTCCACATCTAAAGAGCTAGAAGGGGAGGATCAAGCTGATCATCTCCACCACCATACCGTAAGAAAAAAAAAGAGAGAAAATCCACAAAAAAAGAGAAAAGCTTTTGATGATCTACTAAAGACTTAACGCCGACGATGCTGTATAGAGAAAGAAATTCGCTGTGCATTGTCTAGAGTTCCTGGTGTTCTTGCCTCTTTGCTCGGCAAAAGATCGAAATAAAAGATCTAGGGGGGATTCTCGCCGCGTTTTCTTCGAATCCCAGCGATGTGGGCTTCTTCTTTTCGTGGCTGATTCATGAAAGCAAATAGCCCACCATCGCCACCGACGGGATCGTCGTCTCGCCTGGCGTAAATCTCATCGTTCTCGCTAAATCCCAGCTCCTTGAGGTCCTGTTTGCACATCAAGTTCCTAGAATTCTTCCTTCTCTCGGCCACCATTCACGAGAAAACGAGAGAAATCTCTTACCTCTCCATGCGGCATTCCAGGTATTTCTTCGATAGATGCTTGCAGCGATCGGCCAGCATTTGGTTGTTTTTCAAGCACTGCATATACTCTTGCATTGCCTGGAAGAGAAGAGAAGAAAGAAAGTTTGCTCGAAATTGGGCATGGCGATCGATCGATCAATTACCGGCTTGCACTCGTGGAAGTGATCCAGTGGAAATACTCCCTTCTCTGGCGGCACGGGCTTCACTCCCCTGCTCCCTCCAAATGCGCCACCAGCAGCCATGGCATTTCCAAAACCCTAAAAAACTCAATAGTAAAATACCATAGGGCAAATCTATTAACTCATGAAATTTCAAGCAAGCGTTCTACCAACAAGATGGTTGATAATCGATGCTTTAAAATCGCGATGCTCCAGAGTTTGCTTTGTCGATTCGGGATTTCCTATGCATTTAAACTCAACAAACAACGAAGAGTTTGCCTCAAAGAAAAACGTACCACCAGAGCCTAAAACTTTGCTTCGTCCGTGAGAATTTGTTGCCGGGCGTATGGCGATATCGCCGTCACGCCAGAGGCTCGTACGAGAGCATCCACGGGAACATCGGTCTCGTCCACGGGTACAGAGCCATCGACGATTTGAGGAGAGTACGCCAGAGCCACTGCGAGGCGCAGAGAAACGAGCAAAAAAGTTTGTGAGATCATTGAAAGAAAAGAAAAGTGTCAATCGTAAGAGGTTTCAGTACCTAGCAACGGACGTTTCCAGCCTTTTGATCCGTTCGACTCGAGTATTTTCGAAAGCAAACAGTCGTAGTACCTGATCACACGATACAGCTCGGTGTTAGCACGGTGTGAGCACGGAGCGAACGATTACTTTCTTACCCTCCACCACGACCAAGACGTCGCCCGGATAAATCGAAAGCCAAGCCTGCAGTGACAGAGAATTCATCACACCGAGGAAAAAGAGAGAATCAAAACAATAAAGAAGTATAGTGATGTTTCAAGCATACCGGGCAAAAGGAGAAGATCTAAAGGCTCATCCGTGTCTAGAACTGCAAACACACAACAAAAGTTTTGATAGAAAGAACAAGAAAAATAAATAGAACTCACCATCTTCTCTTGGGCTTCCAGATTTATCGACTGGCTCCGGCTCGAGGATCGTCATGGAATTCGGTACCAGATCATCGTAGCTCTTCACGTGAAGCATTTGCATATGGCTTTGCTTGTCTTGTACACGGGGGAGATAAAGCTTCTTGGCTTGCACTGACCACGATGAGAGGACTTAGATCGAAGAGAGAAAACAAAAGAAAAAGAAGAGAGCGTACCTGGATCATCGGGATTAAAAATGTGAGCGACGATTTTTGTGGTGTCCACCTCTCTCAGTGCGGCACAGCTCACATAGGCGCACAGTCTTTTACTGTCCTTAAACCAGGGAGCGTCGAGGACGTGGTGCTGGATAGCCGCATCTGCAAGATCGAGAAGATTTCCAGATTTGTGAGACTAGAGAGCAGGCCCAGCTTGGATTTCCCTGTAAAGAAATATTTCTCACCTTCGATCTGCCGCTGCGCTGCCGCGAATTCCCTCAACTTGCGCCGGACAGCGGTCCGCATCTGGCGCTTCTCCTGGCAGATCGCATGCTTGGGATTGAGCGCTGCGACATCGGCTCCATTGCCGCCAGCTCCCGCCATCGCCATGAAACGCAAAGAATGCCATCTTGCGAGCAAAGCCCTAACCCCGTTAGAACCCCGCATTTTCTGTTTAGAAAACAAAAAAAAGTCTCAACCGTTGATTAAGGAAACCAACGGCAAAGATCTCGTGGGGAAGAACCCTAATAGTTTTTGTTTGGGATGGAGAAGGTTGCTTTGGCGCCTCACGAGGCGCCGGCGATGCAGCGGAAGAGGATCGCATTCGCGAGCTACATGTACATTCTTCTCTACATTGTGATTTCCAGCGGCCAGATCTTCTTCAACAAGGTTTGATCAGCTTAGAAAATTTCCAATGCAGGGTAGCGCAATTTCCCTTCGATCCGTGACTGGTATTTTTTTTTCTCTCGTTCTTCCATTTGCAGTGGCTGCTGTCTTCCAACCATTTCAATTTCCCATTCCCGGTGTCTCTCACGCTCATACACATGGTGTTCTCATCGGTGCTTTGCTTCGTTGTGATCCATGTCTTTAAGGTAAGAGTTTTTTTAATTTTTTTGAGTTAGTTCTTCGAATTCTAAGAATGAGAATGCACAGCTAGTGCCCCTGCCTCAAGGAATGACTTTGGAAATGTAAGAAAGTTTTTGGAATTTCGATCTTTGTGTTGTAACTCTCAAAACCGCAGATACGCTACCTCGGTTTTTCCCATCGGAGCAATGTTTGCGATGACTTTGTGGCTCGGGAACTCGGCCTACCTTTATATCTCCGTTGCTTTTGCTCAGATGCTGAAAGCCATAAGTAAGAAGCTTATAGATTTTTTGTAGTCGAAAGGTGCTGATGCTGTATTTGCAGTGCCCGTTTCCGTTTTTCTCCTTGGAGCCGCATTTGGTCTTGAAAGTCTTACTCTTCGCATGATGTTCATCATGTCGGTAATAAGCTTCGGTGTGCTGGTTGCATCTTACGGCGAGATCAACTTCAACTGGATTGGAGTGATTTATCAGCTTGGCGGGGTTGTCGGGGAGTCAATGCGGCTCATACTGATCGAGATCATGCTGAAGAGGAAGGGATTGAAGCTAGATCCTCTCACGATGATGTACTACGTGAGTCCTTGCAGGTACGCCTCTACTTCCGTTCTGCCAAGAATGACCATTTTTGTTTCTGTTCTTGTTTCAGCGCGTTTTGCCTCTTCATACCCTGGTTGTTGCTAGAGAAGCCGAAGATGGACAGCTCAACGCACTGGAACTTTGATGCCGTTGTTGTGTCTCTCAACGCCCTGTGCACCTTTGCGCTCAACATCTCCGTGTTTCTGGTGATATCGTCTACGAGCGCGCTCACTATCCGTGTGGCTGGCGTTGTGAGAGATTGGATAGTTGTGCTGGTCTCTGGACTAGTATTCCTTGACACGACACTTACTCCCATCAACATCATTGGCTATGTCATCGGTAAGGAACCAATCTTTCTTTTCTCATACAACCGTTATGACTTAACTTCCTATGTCAGCTATCTTTGGCGTTGTAATGTACAACAAACACAAACTCAAACCAGTACAGGCAGCCTCGCAAGAGGAATTACTTCCAGTGTTACAAGGAAAGTGAACACGACTATATTCAAGGCAAGGAAAACACAAACAACAGCGCAAAAAGAGAGCGAAAGAAGAGTGAGAGGTATCATTTCTAATGCCTGCTCTGCTTTAGGAATGACCTCAATTGCGGCTTTATTTTCTCTTTCTTTTGCTCCCTGTTGTGCACAAGTAGGGTGAATGTTGCCGTTGTCATGAAGAATCCGATCATCGTTGTCGTCTTTTAGTAACTCGAAGGTACGGTGTCGGTGCTCAACTTGCTCGCGGAAACTACTGAAATTGTGTGCTTGCAGGGACTTGCGCGTTGGTTGTCTTTTAGGAAAGCATTTTTTAGCCGGAACTGCAAGCGATTAAACTAATATCCTGAAGGGTAACGCGGTCGAGTTTAATTTGCGCTTGCAGGTCGCCCGAAAAGCAATCGATAAAGTATCTGTTTTGTTGTATAGTGCTTGTTTTTCTCTCGGCTTGCCTTTCGAAGGGCCGGACGCTGCAACCAGATCAAATGTGCACTTTGGTGGTCTGTATCTATAAGGAGGTAATCTGTCAGATTTACGATCTCTAACTTTGTTCTGGCGTTGTCATGTACAGGACACAAAGGAAACAACCACAGTCAAGGACAATAGCGGCTCCAAACTCTCAAGAAAGCATTGTACCGAGTGAGCGTGGAGTCCAGCTCTGTGCAAGCCACAACACCAAGATAAGTCGAAAAAGGACGACGGAAGAAGGAATGCTGTTACGATGCTCAAGAGGTATCATGTCCTTGCACATTTTACTCTAGTTTATGTGCTCCACCCGTAGTTAATGTAGTCACCTCAGCTTCTACTTTCCATTTCCACAATAATTTGTTTCCCGCTATGCTTACAGTAGCCTTTTTCCAGGGGGTGCTCTGCAAGCAAACTTTTGGAGAGATTTCCTTATATTGGGAAGATCCCGCTTGTTGGTCCCTGACACAAGAATGTGGTGGACGGTCAAGCAGGATCTAAGCAGTGATCTTCTCGCATTTTAGAGCGCTGCAGCACGCAGAGATCTCTTATGTGGACGGAGAGAAGCCACAGAGGTATCCGGAGGTACAAAGGTACGTGACACAAGAAAATGCCCAACTTGTCACAGTTGGCCGACGTCATTGAATTGTTTTCTCACTCTTGTTTGCGTGTTTTCCTTCCGCTGCAGGCAAGGCTTTGCTGGAAATGGTCGAAGATACGAAAGAAGTGCGCCAAAAGCCCAGAGTTTTCCGCTACCTCAGGCAAGTAACCGACAGGCAGCCTTTCTCTTTTGACGCTGGCGTCCCTTCCATTTCGCATTAAAGTCTGAGAGATGCTTGTTGGCCGGGGTGATTCCAGGATTTTCTCAGCGCCTTAAGTTACTCCCTGGGGATTGAAATGGATTGAGAGCAACTTGGCGACGAGAAATCAAATCAAACGAGCGACAGGGTCGGCAGGAACGCAGGGATGTCTGATCTGATGGCCCTGGGCTGCTGCTCCAAAGGTACTTGGAGCTCGCTCCTCTCACTTTCACTTTCCCTCTCTCTCTCTTCTACACCATTTCCCATACGCGCTAGAAAACTCTCTCCTTTTCCGCCTTGCGTGCGTGGAATCAGAGGAGAAAAGAGGAATGGGGGCCCCGAGGAGGGACCGACGAGTCCCCGCCCTCCACAGTGGAAGAAAAAGAAAGGCATTGTTTTTGGTGACAACGACACTAATCACCAAGTACAATAATGAAAGGCAATTCTTCCATCTGGGAAGGAAAGAGCTATGGTGGCTCCACATAGCCTTTCCAAAAGAAGTCGCAAGAACCCTAGCTTTTCAAATTCGAATTGGAATCGGTGGCATATTCCTCGTAGGCTAGGCAATGATTCCCGCTAAAAATAACAGGAAATAGCAAAAAGTGGGGTAAAAGAAAAATCTGGAAAGAAAAAAAATCTGGAGGGGAATCGAACACGCCTCTGGCGTCCGTCCTTTTCCTTCTTTTCCCGTTCCCGCGGTGCCTTCTTACCGCGGCCGTAAAAAACACTCGGGAGTGGGGTGAAAACGCGCCCATTGGCTGGCGCGCCCATCGAAGGTAATAGAAGGTGCCGCGCCAGATGTTACCCGTCCCATTTAGCCAGCATTTACCGCGGCTCGTATAGCCAAATATTAACTTTTTTCACCCCACGCCGCAAGGTTAAGTCCCCCCAATGCGATGCCCAATTCTCCCATTTACCGCGGGCCTGTACGGGCCACATTTGCAATAATTACCTCCTCGCGGACCCGGCGGCGAAGGCTTCCAAAATTGGCAAAGGCCAACGCTAATTATAGAAAGCCCTAAGCTAAACGGGGCATACGAGATACGGTGCCCAGCCTCGGAATAGCCACCGTATGCCCGTGACGGGCGCCGACGGGCGTTGACGGGCATAGCATAGGCCCGAAAAGTAAAAATGCAGTACAGGGGATTAGATTTTACGTGCACGCCCTTCAACGAGCAATGGGGGCAATTTTTCAAATGAGAAGTGGGGATAAAACTCCATAGGAATGACGAAGGAGCTTCTCTTCTTCTTCTTCTTCTTCTTCCTCTAGCTCGCGCTCTTGGGCGCGATAATATTTTAGGTTTGTTTGAGGCGAGCGCGCGGCGCTGGGCGGGGCGCGCTGGCTATGGCGGAAGATTTCTTCTTCTCCGCCTTCGTCGTGCTGTGTGTGTGCATGTATAGGGCGGCGGCGCCGGAATAGGAAAGGGGGCTTAAAAGCAGGGGTGGACGAGCTCTAAAAAGCGCTAGAAGCTCGAAGTGGAAGCCGGAAGTGGAAGCCCGGAAGTGGGAGCCGCGACGCAGTAAGCATTGCCACGCCAAGGATCTCCCTCCCTATCTCTCTTTCCCACCCGCGGCGCCGAGATTTCTTCTTTCCAATGGGCCGCGGGAAAATCGAGATCAAGCGGATAGAGAATGCCACGAATCGGCAGGTTACCTTCTCCAAGCGCCGCGGTGGCCTGCTCAAGAAGGCGCACGAGCTGTCGGTGCTGTGCGATGCACAGATTGCGCTCATCATCTTCTCCAGCACCGGCAAGCTCTTTGAGTACTCCTCCAGCAGCACCAGGTACGTGTTCTCCGCGAGAATCCATCGAGCGGTAGCTGGCTGGTTTGCTTTCCTTTGGAATTTGCGAGCTGGCATTGCCTGGGCTCTCTCGGACGGATCGATTGCATGGTTGTTTGGGCGCCGTATCGTGTTCTTGGCAGTCAGTCCTGGAGAGAAGGAGTTAAAAGCCATCGAAAGGAGAGGCAGCATATTGTTTGTTTTGGCTTGTTGGTGTGGTTTCTGCATTACCCTTTTCAGAAAAAGCTTGCTGATTCGTGCTTCCTCCTGTTTTTCCTTTCCCTCTGTGGCTTCGATTTGCCGGTTTTTGGTTGGCTGCGTTAAACATCGTTTTCTCATTGTGGTTTCCTGATTGAAACTGAGCTTGATGGCGTGTTTACGTCTGTTAACTACTTGCGGTACGATGTTTTTCTTGCCTTTCTTTTTGCTGGACATCGCGTGAGCAGATTCTGCGAGCCAATCGGTGGCTGTAAATGCGGCTAAACGCAAGTTGCATCTGTCCTGAAATTGATGCTTGCCGTAGAATCTGTGCGATGGTTGGAGCAATTTCTTTTTTGCCTCTCTCTCTCTCTCTCTTCTCAGTCCCGGGTGGTTTGTCTTGTTTGTTTTTGTGAGTTCCTTCTTCTTCTTTCCCAAAGGAATGGTCTTTGCTGCGGGAAAATCTGGATAAGGTACGTGAGGGAGCCAATTGTGGCCGTGGATGGATTCGGATGGTGTGTGGATCCAATGGCCGGATCTAGTTTGTCTGCATTGGTCTAGTACATTTTGCCATGGCTTGCTGGGTAATCTGACGCGTCAGATAAAGTGGGGATTGAGACTGCGGGTCGGAAGGGAAGTTAATTCCCAGTTGTTTGTGTTGCATGTCATTTTCGTCGTGTTTATTTGCCGGTTTTTTTTTTTTTCTCTCTTCTTGACTTGGTGGTACTTTTTTTTCTCGCCGTTGAGAGAGCTTAGAAACTCGTTCACTCACCTTTGTTTCTTTTGCTTCCAAATGAAGCATGAAGGAGATACTGGATCGCTATGGGAGGTACCCCGAGGGAAACCATAACACCAGTATCGTCGATCACGATAATGAGGTGAGTTGAGATGAAGTCTCTTCTGCAGTTTCTCTGTACTGAAAGCTTTGTTGTTTCTTTTTTTGTAGCGCTGGGGTCGAGAGCTCATTCGTCTCAAGCAACAGATAGAACAGCTGCAGCAGACTCACCGGTATGCTTCTGCTTGCAGCATCAGAAAAGCAAAACTCTCTAAAGTTTGTTTGCGATTGTCTGCAGCCACATGGTTGGCGAGGATCTCATACACTTAGGCATCAAGGATCTACAGCAGCTAGAGCACCGACTGCTGAGTGGACTTGAACGTATCCGCGCTAGAAAGGTGAGTTCAAAAGCTTGTCTGAATCTATCCGTAACCATGGGGTTGTGCGTTTTAACAGGATCAGCTCATTGCCGAACAGCTCGATGAGCTCCGTAGGAAGGTAAATTCTCATTTTCTCTTTTGTCTCGTGTATGCAAGGTGAAACTAACACTTTTTTTTACAGGAGCTTCATCTGCAGAGAGAAAATGACCATCTGAGGCGGAAGGTAACGTTTTTTTCTTTTCTTTTCGTGTTTTGTTAAGAAGTTTCTTCTAAATTTTCTTTTTTATTTCCTCGCGCAGCTCAATGGCATCCACAGCGTAATTGATAGTGGTGGAAAGCCGTTGGCTACCCTCAACGTGGTAGCAACTCCACTGGAGACAAGGGAACCTCCGTCTGTAACTTTGCCATTCTCGATTCATGGCCAGTTAGCTCCATTGCCAGCGTTTGTGGAACACCACCCACAGATGCTGCAGACATCACTGCACTTGGGGTAAGCTAGTTTCTCGTTTTTCGCCTTCTTTCTTCGTGCGTAGCGAACTGACGAGAGAAATGGTTTTGTGTTTCTCCTTTCTAGTAGGATGTATGAACCGTTCCCACCCACGGCTAGAAGGTCTTCGAACAGCTCAAGCGATGAAGGCCACAGCCATCGCTCGACTTGAACGACTTAGAGATTTTTCGGGCTCGCAGGGGTAATGACTCGAAGAGCTCTCTCGCTTCTCGATTTGTTCTAATGGATTGCGTTCGTGGTGTGTAGGTGGTGGAATGATCTGGGAATTGGAAAGCCGTGAAATTGATTCGAGAATTGGAGAAGTGACAACTACTTACTTAGCACCGGGGCTCAAAGTTTTTTCGTCCCGGTGATTGTTCTAGAGGCCAGCAACAGTGACCAAGTCGAGATGGAAATTTTCGAGACGACGCTCTCGACTGGAAAAGAGGCTGCCGGTTTGTATTATCTACATATCTACTTTACGTTAATTTAAAAGGCATTATGCCAACGGTTAGGATCGTGCCACTTGTCGCACATCCGACCGGTCACACCTTTTGTTGGGAAATGCCAGATTAGGGTTCTTGGGGCCTGGGGCGGGGTCTTCGCGTCGTCCAGGTAGAGGATTTGATGGTTAGGAGCAGGGGCAGGATCGTCAATGGCGCCAGTGGATCCTCTGCAAGCAGCCTCTGGCTGGAATTCTCGACGCTTGGCATCCGCAATCTCATTCCAGGGCTCCCGAATGATCTGGCTTGCGTGTGCCTGGCGTGCGTGCCGCTTTGGCAGCACGGCCGCTTGAGATCCGTGTGCCGATCCTGGAACGCGGCGCTGTCGGGCGATTTCATCATCCAGCTCCGCCGGAAGCTGGGCAAGGGCGAGGAGTTCCTCTACCTCTTCCGCGACGATCCGTCGCTGTGCCGCGGCGAGGTGTTTGATCCGCGCGCGCAGCTGTGGAGCACATTCTCGCCGATGCCGTGCAATCCCTCGCGCTACAGCATGAGCAATTTCGAGTGCGTGGCCGCGGGGCAGCAGCTCTACGTGCTTGGCGGATCGCTCTTCGACGCCAGGAACTTTCCCATGGATCGTCCTGTGGCTTCCTCCTCGGTCTTCAAGTATGATCCGGTGAGATCACAGTGGGAGCAGTGCCAGGACATGAAAACTCCCAGGGGGAGCTTTGCGTGTGGGATCTTCCAGGGGTGCTTGATCGTGGCTGGCGGTGGATCGCGTCACGCCCAGTTTCGAGCTGGCGGTGACAGGATTTGCGAGGCGGAGAAGTACGATCTGGCAAGAGATTCGTGGGAGAGTCTTCCGGGGCTCCACAGCATCCGGGCCGGGTGCTCGGGATTTTTTGTAGGGGACGAGTTTTGGGTGCTCGGTGGCTATGGCGAGGCTCGGACCATTTCCGGGGTCCTGCCGGTTGACGAGCACTACAACGATGGAGAGGTTTTCAGCTTTGGCAGTGGGAGCTGGAGGAAGCTCGAGGCGATGTGGGAGGATGGAGAGAGGCTTCGTCTCGGGAGGATTGCCGTGTTGTATGGAGATGTTGACGGTCTTCCCAGTGTTTTCATGCTGGAGAACTCGAAGCTTCTCAGGTATGGTTGAGTGGTTTCTTTGTTTTCTCGCGTAACATCGATTGTTCTTGGCTTTCTAGATATGACTTTGGATCCAACGGGTGGTATCCAGAGTCCGAGCTTCCATCGCCGCTGGCCGCCGAGAGCTCCTGCCGATTGGTAGGACTGGACGGGGAAGTTTACGTGATTCCTGGCGGCGTGAACGAGCAGCGATACGAGAGGAGTCCTCGTTCGTGGTCCCGGAGCACCACGAGAAGGTGTAACATTCTATTCCAGATTTACCATCCGGTGAAGCGGACATGGCGAGCCGTGGTAACCAAGCCTCCGCTGGATCACCAGCACAATCCACCGTGGGGAGCGATGTGCGTGATGAAGCTGTGATCCACAGAGCAACTCTCTCCGGGTTTGTCGATTGAATCTATTTGTGTATATTAACACTTGTGTATAAAGTTATTTTCCAGCTCAGAGCTCGCTAAGTTCTTATATCAGAGATCGCAAGCTCGTCGTCCCCGACACTTGATATCGTGAGTTTGGATCTGCTGCTTGACCCAAGTCACCGTAGCTTTGGCCAGCGAGTTTGCCGGATCGATGCACTGGAGGAGCAAAGGATCATCGGCAAACAGCGCAGCCGTGAGATCGTCTCCCATGACCCGGTTGACGGCATTCACGAGCAGCATATGGATCGCGACGCGAATGAGGCTCCGGTGTCCCTGGAAGTCTCTCCTCTCGAGAGCCGCCATGGCTGGAACGATGAGACGATCCTTGGAGGCCTTGTCTGGCAGCACAACCTCGAATCCCTGTGGGAAAAAGAAAAGGAAGATCCAACTTATGTCATCAGAAGCTGCTAGCTCTTCGCGGAGATCACCTCTTGCTCAAGCTTCTCCTGGTAGAATTCGAGGCCCTGGCAAGTGAGGATCCCAATCCTGGGCCTGGCGGCGCCCTGGAGCGGCCGCAGCTCGGCGCGGTGGAGCTCCTCGACGAGGGAATCGACGACGTTGAGCAGCTTGGCGGAGGAGCCCGAGTCGAGGCACGTAAACCAGCGGAGGGACGAGGGGCAGGGCAGGGCAATGCATTTGGCGCCGGCGTCCTCGAGAAACTCTCGCTGCTGGATGAGAGCGCCGAGGTGGTGGGAGGCGTTTGGATCGCCGCAGAGCACGAGAGGGATGCGGAGGAGGTCGCCCTCGGCCGCTGTGGCCTCTCGGAGCCGCTTGAGGAATTGCAGGGTCGGGACGGAGTGGAATCCTCCGCCCAAGACTCCAACGCTGTGGGGGTAGTGGAGGAGCTGACACGAGACAAGGCTTTGCATGATCTTACTAGCTTGGGGTGTGTGCAGGTGCTGAGTGCAGTGCGGACTGAGTGCAGGTGCTGAGTGCGGTGCGGACTGAGTGCAGGTGCTGCAGGTGTTGAGTTCAGGTGCGGAGAGCGGGATCTGCGGAACTTCTATTTTTCTGCCCCTTCGAAGCTTGTATGAATGCAAGAAATATTCTTGTCAAGGAATATGCAGACTAGCCAAGTGTCGAGGATTCATAAGGGTACGTGGTTGAATTGATGCTTTTTTATGTATTTTGTTTTTCCTTGCCCGCAAGCTGGGCATTATCCGCTCAGCATTGAAAACTGAGGGGGGAAAAAATCAAGAATTCTAGTCAAGAGACGATGGGATGCAAGGAAAACGATACGAATTGCACGCATGACAAAAGGTGGCGGGTACAAACATGCGGTCAAATACGTGGTCGGATTATATCAAGCATATTCGCGGACGTCAATCGATCGATCTAAGAGAGAGAGAGGAGAGAAAGATATTTCTGCATAATGCGGACCATGATCACAAAGCAAAGAAAGAGGCGATGATCAACGAAAAAAACCTATATATAAATGTTAAACTTTCTCTTTCTCACTCTTGATTTCTCTCGAGCTTGATCTAGAGGTCTTGAAACCTCGAGATCCGTCCTACTTGACCATCATCATCTTGACAAACTCCTCGTAGTTGATCTGCCCGTCGCCGTCCACGTCCGCCTCCCGGATCATCTCGTCCACCTCCTCGTCCGTGAGCTTCTCGCCCAGATTCGTCATTACGTGCCGCAGCTCCACCGCGGAGATGAATCCGTTCTGGTCCTTGTCGAACACCCGGAACGCCTCCTTGAGCTCCTCCTCCGAGTCCGTGTCCTTCATCTTGCGCGCCATGAGGCTCAAGAACTCGGCGAAATCGATGGTTCCATTGCCGTCGGCGTCCACCTCGTTGATCATGTCCTGCAGCTCCGCCTCGGTTGGGTTCTGTCCCAGGGATCTCATCACCGTGCCCAGCTCCTTGGTTGTAATGCAGCCTGGCGGATTCCCCGATTGTATCAGAGGATTTAGAGGAATGATCTAAGAACTAGGAAGAACACGAAGGAAGAACACGAGGAAGAAAGAGTTTTCATCTTCTTACCATCACCATCTTTGTCGAACAAGCTGAAGGCTTCCTTGAACTCCGCCAATTGCTCCTGTGTGAGCTGCTCGGCCGCGGCTGCCATCGCTCACTCTCTCTCTCTTCTCGAGCCGCCAAGAGCCCTGCACTGGAAACCATTCCATTTTTCCGTCCGAGAGACACGGGCAAAATCCAAGCGCTTAAGCTACGAATTCAAGGCCCAGATCTAGAGAGTTTGGAGATTTACCTGCGAAGAAGCGATGGAAGTCCAAGACGAAGCTCCAAGCTTGGTGCTGTGATCCTGCGGCGAAGAAGCAAGAAAATCGCGAGAATTTCTTATTTTTAAAAAACCATTGCGGCATCCATAGCGTAACGGGAGGCGCAGTGGAGAAGGGCGTGGTTAGCGGTTTGGTAGCTCCAAAGCGCCAGTGTAAAGGCGCTTTGGTAAAGAACGCGCTGCGTTTCCGCGTTGATGCGGCTGTCGCATTGCCGCGCTGGCGTGCTTTGGCGGGTCCACGCGGAATGGACATTCCGTTTAGGGATATTCTGTCAAGGCCGTTAAAGCCCCGGATAAGCCCTAAACCGTTCGCTAGGGCAAAAGTATTTCGAGGATGGAGCGCGCGTTTGCTTCGTCTTCTTCTTCCTTCTCTCCATCTAGTCCGATCGGCCAGCGGCAGCAAGGTAATCCGCGAATGTGATCGGGATTGACCGTGTTCTTGGCGATTTCCAGTCGATCGTCGAGCTGTGCGCTTTAGGCCCTGCATTGACATCCACAATGTAAGGGTTTCTTCGCGAGAGAGAAAGAGAGAGAGAGATACAATGCTGGATGTGTGCGTGTTTTTTGTAGGGAAAGGTGAAGCAAATCGTGGGATCTACTCTGCTGGATTCGTCGCAGTCTTCGCTGGTTGTGAATTTCGAGTCGGAGAAATCGGCTGCCGAGTTTGCTGGAATGTATCGCCGCGATGATCTTCCCGGCGGACACGTGATCATGCTCGGGGGAGATTCTTTGAGCCTGAAAGCAGCGCTCGCGGCACTGGAAGCGTATCCGGGCAAGTAATGGTTTTTCTTACTATTGCATTTGTTTCTAGATTTTGACAGCTCTCGTTTCTGCTAGATTTCAGGTGGCTTGCAGATCGGTGGGGGTGTCAACTTGGGGAACGCGAAGTCTTATCTCGATGCTGGAGCGAGTCATGTGATTGTCACCTCGGTGAGTGTTTTATATCAGTCTTATGAGGGAATAACTCCAACTTTGGTTTTTCTAGTTCGTGTTTAAGGACGGCAAGGTCGACACTGAAAGGCTCCAGCAGCTAGTACGCCTTGTTGGCCGGAAGAGGCTCGTTTTGGACCTGAGTTGCAGAAAGAAGGTGAGTAAAACGCAATGCTATGGATAGCTTGTAACACATGAAACTTTGGCCAGGATGGAGTATACATGGTCGTGACCGACCGGTGGCAAAAGTTTAGCGATCTGCCTATCACTGAAGAAACTCTAGCCGGTTTGGCGCAATCAGCCGACGAGTTTCTTGTCCATGGGGTGGACGTCGAAGGAAAGCGGTAAGACAAGTAGTAAGAATAGTTTAAGCTGGAATCTTATCGCCACCGCTGCTACCCCAGGCTGGGAATCGACGAGGAGCTTGTCAAGATCTTGGGCCAATGGTCTCCAGTACGTATCATCTTGGACTCTTCATGATCTGGGTGTCTTACTTGTGAGTGACTATTGGTGTAGATCCCGGTTACGTATGCTGGTGGGGTAACATCGCTCGAAGATCTGGATCTCATCAGAAATGCTGGGCGAGGCGTTGTAGACGTGACTGTCGGCTCTGCTCTCGACATATTTGGAGGCAACGTTTCATATTCCGATGTCTTGAGTTGGCACAGAGATCAGCAATCTTAACCTTTGTCTAATATCACTTTTTGTTTAGTATTAATCCTGAATTCATTTCCGAGGTTAGGTCGTCTTTTGATCAACCCTAAATTGTAAACGCTATGACCATTCAGTGACACTTCGCATTCTAAAAGTCGGTGGGTGAGTCTGTGCTCGTGGACCTTTACTTATGGCTGCCCCTTTTGTTTTCTCATTCCTTTTGCTCCTGTTGTGGAGAAATGGCTCCTTCTCAAAAGCTTCTGCTTGCATTGCTCCTATCGTGCCTGCTCATCACTGCTGCTTTTGCTGCTGGAAATGAAGGTAGCGGTTTTCTTCTCTAGAATCTTGATAGTTTCTTACTGTTTGAGCTGGATTTACAGACCATGTGATGGATCAAACAAACACTTGTGGGCTTGATAGAGCTCTGTGCGTGTTTTCCATGATTTTTGGTTGGATGTTTTTTGTATTTCTTTTCAAGGCTAGGCCATGTTATGTTCTTCCGCTATGTTCTGTTCTTTGAGAACTTAACCTAAACAAGTTTTTTTCACTTCCACAAGTCCAAGAACACTCATTGTAAAACATTGCTTGGAAATGCCTGCCATTGTAGCGCAAAGACTGGCCAAGGTGGCTGGACAATTCAAGGCCAAGAACCGAGACTTTCGTTTACAACCCAGGCCAGTCCATACCAACCAGTGCCAAAACATTTGCAACTTCGCTGTTAGAAAGAGTGCCGCGAACCATGGCTGGAACTGCCTAGTGCCTATTGCAATTTGGCCAGGTCTTATTAGAACTGGCCAGGCACTATTAAGGTGGAGTCATCTTTAATTATGAACTCTCAAAGAACATAACATAGCATAAGGCATTACAATGTTAAATTCTGATCCTACTGCTGCAATGCCATTTGAACTCCTTGCTATGAACACATGTTCGCATGGAAGATCACCCGTAGGTACATTCCAACAAACTTGGCAGCCGATTTCTCTGACTCAAAATTCACAACCACTGAATCCATCAGAGTAGATCCCATCAGTTGCTTCCTTACTCATTGTATTATCTCTACACTCCATAAAGAACCCTTACATTGTATGCAGGGGTGAAACCGCACAGCTTGACGATCCGCTGGAATTTCTCCCATGTGAATTGCAATCCCAGGAGCACCAATGACTTCAAAACCGGGGAGATTCTTTGAGCTTGAAAGCAGCGCTCACGGCACTATTGGGCAAGTAATGTTTAGAAAATGTTTCTTTCTATTACATTGATCTTCTGCTGGCTTGCAGATCGGTGGTGGTGTCAACGTGTGGAACACGACTCGATGCTAGAGCGAGTCATGTGATTGCCAGTGCTTGATCGTCTTAGGTTGGAAGAGGCTTGTTTTGGACCTGAGTTGCAGCAAGAAGGCGAGTAAATTCCTTGTAGTAACATATCTAAAAGAAAATGTCTTGTCAGGATGGAGTATACTGACTGGTGGCAAAAAGTTTAGTGATCTGCCAATCATTGATAGAAACTCTAGCTGGTTTAGCGCAATCACAACTTTCATGTCCATGAGGTGGATCTCGGAAGGAAAACGTAAGATAAAGTAGAATAGTTTAAGCTGGAATCTTACCGCCACACCAGGCTGGGAATCGATGAGGAGCTTGTCAACATCTTGGTCTCCAGTACGTATCATCTTGGACTCTTCATGCTTAGTTGTGAGTGACTATTGGTGTAGCTCCAGGTTACGTATGCTGGTGCAGTAACATCGCTCGAAGATCTGGATCTCAACAGAAATGCTGGACTGCTGGCTCTTCTCTCGACATATTTGGAGGCAATGTTTCATATTGCGATGTCTTGAGTTGGGACAGAGATCAGCAAAAAAACTGTTGATTTACTTGTCATAACCTTTGTCTATATCACATTTTTGGTTGTGATGTACTCCCCACTTGGGGAGCAGGCAAATGTGGATCAGGATTCCAAGCATAATTAAGTTCATGGTAACGGTAATCAACAATAACTCCAGTAGCTACCATTCAGTGACCAACACTTCACACTGTGTCTCATGGAGCTTTACCTTGTGCTTGCTCATCACTTCTGCTTTTGCTACTGGAAATGAAGGTAGCAGTTTTCTTCCCTAGAATCTTGATAGTTTCTTACTGTTTTGAGTACACTCGCGCAGGATCTGTACTGTAAAGGAAGGCTAAGATCCACAGAAAAAACGTCATGGAAAACACACAGAGAGTTATACTATTGAGCACTGTAGTTTGCTGATGGATCGCCATGGTCGTCGCTGGTGTGGACACAGAAACTATCGAGATTTTGGAGAAAGAACTAAAGAAAACTGGAGCAGCAAAAGCCGCAGCGATGACCAGGCATGAGAGGAGCGATGCAAGCACAAGCTTTCGAGTAGGAGCCATAATTTCTGGAGAGCCAAGAGAAAAGAGAATAGATTGAGCAAACAAAGGGGGCAATCTCCCATAGATAAAGATCCAAGAGCCCGAACTCACACAAAAGCTCGCACAAACTTTTACTCCAGTGGCAGTAGTAGCACCTTAACGTTGATAACCATGGTTTCACCACCATGGTTGGAATGATCTACAATGAAACACACGTTCTCAATGCTCAAGTCAGAATAGATATCAGCGAAAGACGAACATCTTGAGGCGAGTTTAGATTGGAGCCAAAGGAAATTTGGAGCTGTTGGATTCTTTCTCAGCCGGCAAACTTCCGCCTTCAGTGACTCAAATCCGCTTTACATCCATGCTGGAGGTCAGAACCAAAGCTACTGAACTCTCTCTGCGTTCCAGAATATGCAATAGAACAAATCTTCAGTTATGTCAAGGTTCGTTCCCAGTAAGTTCAGTTCACTAGTACTGCGCATACTCCTCTCAAACTGTGGATTGCCATTTAAGGGGGACAACGCTCCCACCTCCAAAACCAGCGAGCCTGAGAATAAAAATGCATGAAACTGATACTTAAACCAAGGAAAAAAAGGAAGAAAAGAACGAAACTTGCTGCTTACCACACCCGGAAGTGCTTGCATGCACTCCGGTCTGTGAAAAGCTTTAAACTCTGGCGGCTGGGGAGGATCTTTTCAAAATCTTGGGCCAATGGTCTCCAGGACGTATCATCTTGGACTCTCTTGGTGTGTAAGTTATGAGTGATTAACCTCTTTGATTGATCGATCGATCTCCATTCCCCGATCGATCAATGAGCGTAGAATGAGATGATCACTGGCTATGTGCAGCTCGGCAAGATGAAACGATTCAACTACTTGTCTTACCACTTTCCTTCGACGTCCACCCCATTGACAAGAAACTTGTCGGCTGATTGCGCCAAACCGACTAGAGTTTCTTCAGCAATTGGCAGATCACCAAACTTTTGCCACCGCTCGTCATGACCATGCACACTCCATCCTGGCAAAAATTTCATATGTTACAAGCTATGTTTTTGAGAGAGAGAGAGAGAGAGAGAGATCCAATGCTGGATGTGTGCGTTTTTTTGTAGGGAAAGGTGAAGCAAATTTTGGGATCTACTCTGCTGGATTCGTTGCAGTCTTCGCTGGTTGTGAATTTCGAGTCGGAGAAATCGGCTGCCGAGTTTGCTGGAATGTATCGCCGCGATGATCTTCCCGGCGGACACGTGATCATGCTCGGGGGAGATTCTTTGAGCCTGAAAGCAGCGCTCGCGGCACTGGAAGCGTATCCAGGCAAGTAATGTTCTTTTTTCTTACTATTGCATTTGTTTCTAGATTTTGACAGCTCTCGTTTCTGCTAGATTTCAGGCGGCTTGCAGATCGGTGGTGGTGTCAACTTGGGGAACGCGAAGTCTTATCTCGATGCTGGAGCGAGTCATGTGATTGTCACCTCGGTGAGTGTTTTATATCAGTCTTATGAGGGAATAACTCCAACTTTGGTTTTTCTAGTTCGTGTTTAAGGACGGCAAGGTCGACACTGAAAGGCTCCAGCAGCTAGTACGCCTTGTTGGCCGGAAGAGGCTCGTTTTGGACCTGAGTTGCAGAAAGAAGATGGATAGCTTGTAACACATGAAACTTTTGCGACGAGTTTCTTGTCCATGGGGTGGACGTCGAAGGAAAGCAGTAAGACAAGTAGTAAGAATAGTTTAAGCTGGAACCTTATCGCTGCTACCCCAGGCTGGGAATCGACGAGGAGCTTGTCAAGATCTTGGGCCAATGGTCTCCAGTACGTATCATCTTGGACTCTTCATGATCTTGGTGTCTTAGTTGTGAGTGAGTATTGATGTAGATCCCGGTTACGTATGCTGGTGGAGTAACATTGCTCGAAGATCTGGATCTCATAAAAAATGCTGGGGGCGTTGTAGACGTGACTCTTGGCTCTGCTCTCGACATATTTGGAGGCAATGTTTCATATTCCGATGTCTTGAGTTGGCACAGAGATCAATCCTGAATTCATTTCCGAGGTTGACCAACCCCAAATTGTAAGACCAACACTTCGCATTCTAAAACTCGGTGGGAGCTTCTGTGTGTATGGCTGCCCCTTTTGTTTTCTCATTCCTTTTGCTCGGAGAAATGGCTCCTTCTCAAAAGCTTCTGCTTGCATTGCTCCTATCGTGCCTTCTCATCACTGCTGCTTTTGCTGCTGGAAATGAAGGTAGCAGTTTTCTTCTCTAGAATCTTGATAGTTTCTTTCTGTTTGAGCTGGATTTACAGACCATGTGATGGATCAAACAAACACTTGTGGGCTCGATAGAGCTCTGTGCGTGTTTTCCATGATTTTTGGTTGGATGTTTTTTGTATTTCTTTTCAAGGCTAGGCCATGTTATGTTCTTCCCTAGCTATGCTCTGTTCTTTGAGAACTTAACCTAAACAAGTTTCTTTCACTTCCACAAGTCCAAGAACACTCATTGTAAACCATTGCTTGGAAATGCCTGCCATTGTAGCGCAAAGACTGGCCAAGGTAGCTGGACAATTCAAGGCGAAGAACCGAGACTTTCGTTTACAACCCAGGCCAGTCCATACCAACCAGTGCCAAAACATTTGCAACTTCGCTGTTAGAAAGAGTGCCGCGAACCATGGCTGGAACTGCCTAGTGCCTATTGCAATTTGGCCAGGTCTTATTAGAACTGGCCAGGCACTATTAAGGTGGAGTCATCTTTAATTGTGAACTCTCAAAGAACATAACATAGCATAAGGCATTACAATGTTAAATTCTGATCCTACTGCTGCAATGCCATTTGAACTCCTTGCTATGAACACATTTTCGCATGGAAGATCACCCGTAGGTACATTCCAACAAACTTGGCAGCCGATTTCTCTGACTCAAAATTCACAACCACTGAATCCATCAGAGTAGACCCCATCAGTTGTTTCCTTACTCATTGTATTATCTCTACACTCCATAAAGAACCCTTACATTGTATGCAGGGGTGAAACCGCACAGCTTGACGATCCGCTGGAATTCTCTTATGTGAATTGCAATCCCAGGAGCACCAATGACTTCAAAACCGGGGAGATTCTTTGAGCTTGAAAGCAGCGCTCACGGCACTATTGGGCAAGTAATGTTTAGCAAATGTTTCTTTCTATTACATTGATCTTCTGCTGGCTTGCAGATCGGTGGTGGTGTCAACTTGTGGAACGCGACTCGATGCTAGAGCGAGTCATGTAATTGCCAGTGCTTGATCGTCTTAGGTTGGAAGAGGCTTTTTTTGGACCTGAGTTGCAGCAAGAAGGCGAGTAAATTCCTTGTAGTAACATATCTAAAAGAAAAAGTCTTGTCAGGATGGAGTATACTGACTGGTGGCAAAAAGTTTAGTGATCTGCCAATCATTGATAGAAACTCTAGCTGGTTTGGCGCAATCGCAACTATCATGTCCATGAGGTGGATCTCGGAAGGAAAACGTAAGACAAGTAGAATAGTTTAAGCTGGAATCTTACCGCCACACCAGGCTGGGAATCGATGAGGAGCTTGTCAACATCTTGGTCTCCAGTACGTATCATCTTGGACTCTTCATGCTTAGTTGTGAGTGACTATTGGTGTAGCTCCCGGTCACGTATGCTGGTGCAGTAACATCGCTCGAAGATCTGGATCTCAACAGAAATGCTGGACTGCTGGCTATTCTCTCGACATATTTGGAGGCAATATTTCATATTCCGATGTCTTGAGTTGGGAAAGAGATCAGCAAAAAACTGTTGATTTACTTGTCATAACCTTTGTCTATATCACATTTTTGGTTGTGATGTGGGAGCAGGCAAATGTGGATCAGGATTCCAAGCATAATTATGTTCATGGTAACGGTAATCAACAATAACTCAAGTAGCTACCATTCAGTGACCAACACTTCACACTGTGTCTCATGGAGCTTTACCTTGTGCTTGCTCATCACTTCTGCTTTTGCTGCTGGAAATGAAGATAGCAGTTTTCTTCCCTAGAATCTTGATAGTTTCTTACTGTTTTGAGTACACTCGGGCAGGATCTGTACTGTAAAGGAAGGCTAAGATCCACAGAGAAAACGTCATGGAAAACACACAGAGAGTTAATACTATTGAGCACTGTAGTTTGCTGATGGATCGCCATGGTCGTCGCTGGTGTGGACACAGAAACTATCGAGATTTTGGAGAAAGAACTAGACAAAACTGCAGCGGCAAAAGCCGCAGTGATGACCAGGCATGAGAGGAGCGATGCAAGCACAAGCTTTCGAGTAGGAGCCATAATTTCTGGAGAGCCAAGAGAAAAGAGAATAGATTGAGCAAACAAAGCGGGCAATCTCCCATAGATAAAGATCCAAGAGCACGAACTCACACAAAAGCTCGAACAAACTTTTACTCCAGTGGCAGTAGTAGCACATTAACGTTGATAACCATGGTTTAACCACCATGGTTGGAATGATCTACAATGAAACACACGTTCTCAATGCTCAAGTCAGAATAGATATCAGCAAAAGACGAACTTCTTGAGGCGAGTTTAGATTGGAGCTAAGGGAAATTTGGAGTTGTTGGATTCTTTCTCAGCCGGCAAACTTCCGCCTTCAGTGACTCAAATCCGCTTTACATCCATGCTGGAGGTCAGAACCAAAGCTACTGAACTCTCTCTGCGTTCCAGAATATGCAGTCCAACAAATCTTCAGTTATGTCAAGTTATCTTCATCCCCACCTACAAATCAAACATGGACGAGAGTGGTATATAGCTTGGATACGATCTCATTATGCTCACTGTTTTGTTGTCCATCCCCACCTACAAATCAAACATGGAGTGAGGAAAACAAAACGAAAACAAAGTTTGTAAACGACAGAAGTTTATACCTGTAAGATATCTCCAGTGAATAAAACACCCCTCCCTTGAGCTCCATGAGACCAGTGGAGGACAGCAAAATGGCTAAAAGCGTGAGTCCCTCCCATAGTAGAACTTAACCATTTCGTGCTGGTAAACCACTCTGCAAAAGTATGGATACAGAAAGATCGAAATGAAAGAGAGAAACAAAGGTAGACAATACCATTCGTGGGTATAAACCGGGACGCCTCCAAAAGCCTCGCTCCATCGAGAGTTTGTGCTGTAGTAATGCGGGTGAGAGATGGCAATCGCTCTCAATCCACCTAGTGACTTGGTTATCTCCACTGTGGCATCGTCTAGAAATGCGATGCAGTCCCACAGTATGTTTCCCTCTATCAAAAACATAAAAACCATAAAAAATGCACAACGGCCATACCTTGAGTCTGGATGTGTTTAATGCCAAACTTTGGAAAGGTTATGATCTCGAAGACCTGCGGCTCATGCTTCTTGAAACCATTGCGAAACTGCAATCTCATCTTGCTCATGGACGTCCATACCTGACCTTCCCTAAAACTAAAAGTCAAGAAAACTCGAGACCTCCAGGATTTCTGACAAAACATCCCACCCAGACGTGTGCCTCCATAACTTTGAAATCCAAGAGTGTTAACAAGGACTCTCGTGGTGTCTTTGTAGAAAGCAATAACGCCGTGCATTGCTTAGAAACCTTAAGAGATAACCAAGATCTCAGTAAAAGGACAAACTTGTTAAAACTCGAGGAGACAGACCTTGAGATCCTCTGGAGATATCAGCTGCTGGATGTGGTGGAGGCGGAGCAGAACCTCAGGTCAGACCCTGCTTATCTTGCTTACTATCACTCGCATGTCCAAGCCTCCTGTTTGAGCGGTGTTGGACGCTCCATTGAAGCAAGCGCATATAACACGGTTAAACACGTTTCTTACTGGAAAGCCATCGGTATAGAGCAGCTGACGACTATCAGATTCTACCTCGGATCCCAATCTCTTCTCTTGGAATCTCACCCTCCAGGCCTACATTCGCAACCACGACCTGAAGCAGGCGCGATCGGTCCTGGAAAGCATACCGCGGCAACGCCCATACGCCGCGGCCGGGGACGTGCAGCGCGCCAAGCAGCTCTTCGATCGCATCCCTGCAAAGAATTCCATCACCTGGAACGCGATGATCCAGATGTACTCGCCGAGTGGCAATCTCGGCGAGGCGGAGGCGGTATTCCACTCCATGCCGGAGCAAACCCTCGTTTCTAGCACGGCCATGATCGTGCCATATGCCCATAACGGGCATCTCTCACGCGCCGTGGACGGCCATGATCCAAGGCCACTGCCAGAACCGGCGGCTGGATGAAGCTAAAGATCTCTTTGAACGCGGAGCAAGCAAAGAATCTCTTTGAAGATGCCCCGCATCTTAATGAGGTGGCATTTACGGCTATGATCGACGGCTATGCACCTCATGGCTGCTTGGAGGAGGCTAAATGTTTGTTTGAGAGGCACGTGGTGGCTTGGAACTCCATGCTTGGCGCATATGCCTCGAATGGGCATTTGGACGAGGCACTAGATTCCTTCCTAAAGATGGCTCATCTCTTGGGCAACAATGATCCATATGCTCACCTCTAGAAACCATCTTGAAAATGCAAAGTTTATTTACGATCGAATGCCTTACAGGAGCAAGTTGGCGCGCACAGTGCTCCTCTCGGCCTATCTCTGGAATTGGCCACCTCCAAGAAGCGATGAGCCTCTTCTGGGCACCAAACTCAAGTTTCCAAGAGGAGTCCCTTGTGAGCAAAACCTGGCACCATTGCCATCCAGACAATTGCATCATGCTCCTTGCTCCTGAGAGAATGGCAGAGCAAGACTTAGTCTCACACACACAATGTTAAGAGTTAAATTCCAAGACCGATGTAAAACACTTACCGAGGTGACAACACATGACTCGCCCCAGTATCGAGCTAGGACTGCACGTTCCCCAAGTTCATACCACCACAGATCTGCAAGCCACTTGAAATGTAGCAGAAAACAACACTTCTCAAAATCTAGAAATTGTATATGCTTCCACTGCCGTGAGTGCTGCCTTCAGGGTCAATGAACGTGTCCTCCGACTCGATATTCACAACCAGCGAGGACTGTGACAAGTCCAGCAGAGTAGACCCAGCAAGCAAGATCATCCATTTGTTGACCACTTTATTTTCTCGAGTCAAGCTTAACTTCAAAGAACAAAACATGGCCTAGCCGTGTAAAGGAAGGCTAAGATCCACAGAAAAAACGTCATGGAAAACACATAGAGAGTTATACTATTGAGCACTGTAGTTTGTTGATGGATTGCCATGGTTGTCGCGCACAACAGCCACTTTTTTACACCAACTCTAAACTTTATCCAACTCAATTGCCTTAGCCCCAAAAGTCAGCATCCCTTTCGGGCCACATCATACAAAATACAGTGAGATACAAAATCCCTAGGCCCCAAAAGTGGAGCCGAAAGGGTGCCACGTGGTAGTGGTTGAAGCGAAAGTCAAACGAGCATAACACGTTTGGACTAAAAGCTCCGACTTCAAAAGGTTGAGAGTGGGAGTGGAACTCCCAACGAAGTGCTCGAGGAATGAGCATGAAGCGAGCAATAAGTGAGGCTCCAAAAAAGGACCCAAAAGGACCAACACATGACACGTGGAAGTGTCTGAGATGGACCCGAGATGGACCCGAGTTGGAGTCCGAAGTGGAGTTCGAAGTGGAGTCCGAGAAGGACCTGAGATGGAGTCCGAGATGGAGTCCGAGATGTACCGAGACGGAGTCCAAGATGGACCGAGACGGAGTCCGAGATGGACTGAGATGGAGTCCGAGATGGAGTCCGAGATGGACCCGAGATGGAGTCCGAGATGGAGTCCGAGATGGACCCGAGATGGAGTCCGAGATGGAGTCCGAGATGGACCCGAGATGGAGTCCGAGATGGAGTCCGAGATGGACCCGAGATGGAGTCCGAGATGGAGTCCGAGATGGACCCGAGATGGAGTCCGAGATGGACCCGAGATGGAATCCGAAGTCGAGACCGAGACCGGGACTGAGACCGGGACCGAGACCGGGACCGAGACCGAGATCGAGATCGGGACCGAGACCAAGACCGAGGCTAAGGCCGAGGCCGAGACCGAGCCCGAGCCCGAGTCCAAGTCCGAGTCCGAGTCCGAGTTCGAGTCTGAGAGGGTGAAAGCCCAAAGCGTTCGTCTCCTAGACCCTAGAGGGTTTGGTGAGCTCCAAAAGTATAGTAAGGGGGAGGACAGCCATTCGCGGCGACGAAGAACCCCCAAAACCCCCTACCAGGAAAGGACAGTTTGGCCCAGGAAGGCCGGACCCAGTGTTGGGTGATGAGCTGCCCATTGTGAAGTCCAAGACTAGAGTGAACACGGACCGACAAGCGGGGTAGCTTGGTGAAGTGTTCAAGAGCCGGCTCTAGTTCCCCCGGGAGATCGACTGGCCGATGCTCCCAGTCCAAGTGTGGGTGGCACTACCTACTTGGATACATAGTATGGCTTAACAGAACCTCGCTCTAAGCCCATGGCTAGAGCACCAAAAGGCGAGAGGTGGGGAGAGTACCCATGAGGCTTGCGTAAGGCCACGGTGTTCCGAAATGTGGGCCCAAAGTCCCAGACTGTGGAAAGGAAGAGGAGTAGCCCTCTAGTGTGGTGACAAGGGACACAGCCACATAGTAAGAAAGTCCTAGAGGACAGTTGGATTTAGTGGTCGGGCCTGTGGGCCTTGATCCAGTGGCAGTGTTGGTGAACACGGCCATGGACAGGAAGGGACTTGGCAGGGACCGGAAAGGAGACATTGGGGAAGGCTATCTCCCATGTTTGCAGGCATCCTGAGGATGCTATGGAGTGGATCTGGGATAGCCACTCATGGATGGATGGCCTAGTCTTTGAGAGACGGGGTTGTAATGCAGGTGGTGTTGGACCACTGATGTGACCAAGGTGAATGGGCATGGCCTAGCGTAACGGGCTGGTATGTCAATGGTACCTTGGGGTGTCGGTCATAGGATCGGACACATGGAGCACTTGGGCCAAGTGCAAAAGTTGAGTGGCGTGGATGCCATTCATGGGGCTAGCAAGCCAAGTCCTGAGTGGGACTTATGGAGGTTGTGAATAAGACTCCTCCAAGTGGTCGGAGGTGCGGTTAAGTGACTAAAGTAGAATGGAAAAAATTAATCTCTCACAATTACATACTAGAGTTTAAGATAACTGAAGTCAACTCCAACCCTTTCACTAGTTTGTATTGGCTTACAAAAACGGAATGATTTAAGTGACTAACAGATCAGCTATTGGAAAAGCCTAAGAAAATTTGTGAAAAAATTTCTATCCTAGAGAAAGAATGACTCTTAGTGCAAGAATGCAAACTTTCAAGACTCAACCAACATCCTTTTATTAACAACCTCACATAGTTTCACCTCAACACAAATTCTTATGACCCAATAGTATGCTTAAGCATCAAACATCTTTGCCCATTTTTCCAACATCCAACATTGATATCCGTGAAATGCAAATTTAATATCCAAGACTTGATCACGAAGACCATATCTTCGGATATCTACATTGCATTAACACTCTTCTTCAATCACTTTCAAGATCCAATGCGAAGCCCAAACACTAACAAGAAAAATGACATAGAAAATCAAGTTTTAAGGAAAGTTCTTTATCACTCAACATAACAATGCCACTTTCACTAACACAAGTGCTAGTGATGTTAATGCCTTAACTACATACCTTCACCATCCAATAATCTACTCCAAGTGCAATGGATCAACTGACAAGCTATAGCAAATAAATGCTACAACTTTTTTTTTTTTCCAACACGTTATGGGCAAACCCTAGGAAACAAGGTACCAATTTAAGCTTAGCATAATGGACCACCATCAAGAATCCAATCAAAGCTACTACAATGCTACTTTGTGCAAGTAGATTAGCTTCACTATCAACCACTTTAGGGTTGATCATTGTTTAACTAAGCAACTTTGTAAACGCATTACTCATTATCATATAGATATGATATAAGTATCACAATGACTTGATCATCAATTGAGCAACACTACGAGCAACACCCATGTCATTACTTCAAAGGTTTATGTGAGTATCAAGTGTTAACTCGATTCGACAAAAATGCAACAGAAATGCCACACTCTATCGATAGCAATTTATAACACCCAATACCACTAACTTTTGTTCACAACACGGACAAGCTCATGCCACTCTCTTTCCGACCAAACTCAAAACTAATCTAACACCAAACTACTCAAGGAGCAATAGCAAGATTCCCCGGAAAAGAATTGAACATTGTAACCCAAATCTTCCAATAGCAAGCTTAGACAAAATGGTTTAGTGCTTTACCGCTATCCATCCCACAATTCACCATTTGTAAGACTATCATTTCCAACATGCATCAAGGTAGAGACTCTTGATTGCATAATGTGAACACGAGCAATGAGTCACACCTCGTTGCAAATCATTTCTCCAAGAGAGAAGATGATTTACGTGCTTGATCTTTCGTCCCTAATGACTCTCTTTTCGGTCTCATCTTTGACTAAACCTTAAGCTTGCTTTCGCACTGCCTTCAGTCCAATCCAAAAAAAGTTTATGAGAGAGCACGACAATGACTATTTGAATCAATGGACTAATCCCTACAATCTTGGTTGATTCACTTGTAATCATGCTAGAAAGGATCCACTAGTGCCGTGCTAAATAGCTACGGCCCAGCCTATTTGCCACTCATAGCAAACCTAGAGAAGGTTTACTTTCACCCATGGTACATGGAACAACTCATGGAACCACTGGAACAACTTATGGAATCACTAATAGGCTAACATTAATCCTGCCAACTCAAAGTGTAACCTTGAGTTGCTAATGTGCCTCACTCACGAGCCTAAGCGTAAACTCGTGCAAATGGAACATCTCAAATCCATCTTATGAGCCCAAGAGTAAGCTCACATTATTACGGTACAACAAAGTAACCAAAATCTATACCCAAGGAACGAATGTGAAGCCTTTGCACCCAAACGTGTACCCACTCGGATCATCGTTTTCATCTCTGCGTATGCAACAAGACTAGTTGCCCAATCTCATTGGATAATACTCGCTAAGACGTATCCTCTGATACCAAATGTAGTGCACTTGGTTTTCACCTTTTATCCCATGGTGATTTACCATAGGATAACACCACAAAGCGAAAGCTAAACCCTCCATGTGCCACGTGTTATATGCCATATGTCACATGCCACATGTCCAAAGGACAGTGGTGTAGAACCCGAGGTTCAAAGCCTTGGGCCACTAGACGAAGAAACGATGCTAAACTCCCAAAGCGTGGAGCCAAGGAGTGATGGAATC